TTTTTATTTATTTTACAGAGTTTCATGTAAATGATCGTAAGTCGACTGGCTGTCTAATGAATAGACCGAGATTTATAGATTTTAAAGCGAACGAAAAAAAACATCAAACAACGAATACATACCATATATTTTCTTTTATCTAAGATACATACCTTATCGTCTTTTGGAAACACGTACATTTTTACAGTTTTGTTAGTTTCTTTGCAAGATGCAACACAGCAAGAAAACACCATTTTTACAGTTAATAAATAATAAAACTACTTCTGGGACTATGATATTTAAAATTTAGATAGATAGAAAATTAAAAACCAAACGAGTATTTGCAAACGCAGGCCCAAATTCAATAAAAATCAAAATTTTTCCTGCGAAAATCAGGCTTTTTTCACTGAAAAGGTATTTTTTGATTTATCAGCAGTCATTGTCAAGTTGACAATAGACAGGGTGTTTCGAATTAGTCTAAAAAAATTATGGTGTGATTCCTCATGTGTTCTTAAAACAATTTTTATGTTGCAAATACTCGTTTGTAATTTTTAAATTAATTTTTAAATTAAATTTGTTTTTTAATTTTCTATCTATCTAAATTTTAAATATCATAGTCAGAAATAGTTTTATTATTTATTAACTGTAAAAATGGTGTTTTCTTGTTGTGTTGCATCTTGCAAAGAAACTAAATACCAACCTAAACCAAAAGACGACAAGGTATGTATCTTAGATAAAAGAAAAATATATGGTATGTATTCGTTGTTTGATTTTTTTTCGTTCGCTTTAAAATCTATAAATCTCGGTCTATTCATAAGACAGCCAGTCGACTTACGATCATTTACATGAAACTCTGTAAAATAAATAAAAAAATAAATTGTAAAATATATATATTCTTATGTTTTATTAAAGTTACTCTGATATACTAATGTATCAGTGTAACTTTAAAAATAAATCCTTTGAATTCAAATATAAACATAAAAAACATTTACAGCAGAAAAGGCGAAGGCGCTGGGTTAAACGTAGACTCCACTAAAAACACGGAGGGGCGCTTTGGCCCAAAATTTTACTATTAAGTTTCATATCTATCTTAATAGTAGATTATTTTCTTTTATCTATGGTTCTACGTCTAGTTGCTGATATAACAAGTTGTTACAAAAGCAAAATAGAACATTAATTCACCACAATACACCAAAACACTCTACTTTTAATGCTGGACGCACATTCCATCTTCACAGTTTCTTCCTGCTGATGATGCTAACATAGTTAAGCCGACCCTACTATTTGGTTTCAACGTTGTAACCAACATTTGACATACAATGGCAAGTGTGTTTCCTACAAACGTTCGTGTGTCCAACGTTGGAAGGTGTTTGCCAGATCGTGTGGGACCAGCTTTAACAAAACGAGTGTCCAGTGTCAAAAGTAAAATATTTTGGTGTATTGTGGTGAATTATTGTTTTATTTTGCTCTATTTTACTATTAATACTTTATTTTAAAATATATTTATTATTAATTATTTAAGATGCAATGATGCAAAATCTCTATGAATCTATGACGTATAGTTATTTCTAAAATTTTATTTATCATGTCCATTAATTTTATTGCTTATTTGCAATTACCTTTGGAAAAAATATGTTTACAAGTCATTATTTTTTATTATTTGTACAAATATTTGTTTAATTTTTCTTTAAAATTCTTATAACTAATAATAATGTATAATTTGTGTAAACTATTTATACATTATTATTAGTTATAAGAATTACTAAAAATATCCACATAAGTAAACTTACAAAAAATATTATGGATGTTACAGCATCTTTAATAAGTGAGTTTTAGAAATTTACTTTAAATATATATACCGAGGGCGTCTTGAAAGTGGCTCACCGCTATAACTTTTTTATTTTTTCAAATAAAAAAACGAGATTTGTTATGTTAATATACGACATAAATTAGGATTGATTGACGAATTCAATTATTTTTGGTCACTTCCTGTTTCACCGGGAATGGGCACAACTTTTGATTTTTAAATGGTATCCTCTGTATTTTTTTACTTTATTCGATAGAAAATGACACTCTGACACGAACACGACACTCTGAATAGAATGACATAAAAAAAATCGTATTTTAAATTTCAATCTAGAGTGTCATGGCTGTGCTAAAAACACTAGTTTTTAATATAGGAGCCTTGGAAAAATAGTTTTGATGGTCTAATGTGGTTCAAAGGTGGCTTATTAGGATACTTGGAAAAAACAATTTTTTACGAATAATTTGGTACCACACACTTGGTATTTCAAATCAAGTTGTCGTAATGAATCGCATGTTAAAATTTCAAATAAATTATATACGAAAATGTCAAAATTTGCCATATGAAACATCATTCTATTCAGAGTGTCATTTTATATAAAGTAAAGTAGAAATATACCGAGGGTGCCATTTAAAAATCAAAAGTTGTAGTAATTTCCGGTGAAACAGGAAGTGACCAAAAACAAGTGAATACGTCAGTCAATCCTATTTTATGTCATATACTAACTAACATACCAAATCTCGTTATTTTATCTGAAAAATAAAAAAGTTATAGGGGTGAGCCGCACCCGCTATATGCATAGTTTTACAAAATAATGTAATTTTATTAAATTGTTATATTTTTCTAAATATTTGACACACAATTGTTGTATTAGCTAAGCTATTATTCTTTTCCAATTCTCAATTTACATTAGTGACTAGTAACAGCAAATTGTGCCAAGAAATATAGTTAGTTCCTAGTGCTATAATTTGTAATAATGGTTTTCATTTTCTTGATCTCAGTGAGTACCTACAATCTGAATATTCTGTGATACAAATTGTGAGAATTACCCCCACACTTTTACACTTACAACTATTTCGGAGATTTGCGAAGTGGTAGAAATAAAAGGTACAATGTAATGCCTAGTACCATTTTAGACTCACAATGCAACAGTGTTTTCTACAATTGGTTTCCATTTTACCTGATACGTAAAAATTACATGTAAAACGGTATGTGTAGACTGGGCTTTACATTAATACAAAAATTTAATAATTTTAAAGTTTTGAATCGTGTTCAGTTATTTATAGGTCAGATAATTAAAATCCTATAACTTAAATATACAATAAAAACTAAAATAAAAGTACACTTAGATGCAAAAAAAACGCAACAGAGAAATTTTTAGTCAAATTTAAAGTGTAATATTTTTGTTATTTTTAGCCCTATTTTCATGAATTTTTTAGCAAGCTATATATATATAATTATATCAACTTTAATTCGTAAACTCGGTTTTTTATAATCTTTAATATTTGGCATATTATACAGGGTTAATCGAGCGGTTGTTTTTTACCTTAAATTTCTTCCCTAAAGAACTTGGAAGATTCCATCCGCAACCTAGAATGGAAATCTTGCAATGGTCTAGGACACTCGAAGAAGTTTCTGAGGGCTTATGATCAAGAAAAATCACAGATCTTCCTGGGTCTGAGTAAGAACAATCTTCGGATTGTCACGGGGTTTTTAACAGGACACTGTCTCCTCAATGAACACCTCAGTAGATTGAAACTAAGAAGAAACGGCGAATGCAGATTCTGTGGGAAGATGGTGAAACACCAGTACACCTCATCACTGAGTGCGCCGAGACGACAACCATTCGTGCCATGAATTTTGGTACGACTGATATTGGAGATGGAGAACTACCCTCTATAAAACCGTCCCAGATACTGGCTTTTGTCAAAGCCCTGGGACTGTATGATGAGTTATGATTCAAGAAAGGGGGACACAATGGATCTGTAAGGTCGAAGTGATTAACCCCCCTCCCACTCATTCTAATTCTAATTCTACCTTAAATTTTAAAACACCCTGTGCAATAATATCGTGTGTAAATTTTCCTAAAATATAATTTTACGGTCAAAACCATGAGTCCTGAACATTTAGTTAGAGCGACATGAATTGATAAGGAACAATTTGCAATTTTTCCAGTTATCAATACTTTTTGATGTAATTTTTTAATATGACGAGATGGTTTTGGTGACTATTGTCGTAACGTCATATTGCGCTGCATTGGATACTTACTAAATTTAAAAAACGTTAAAAACTAACGATACTATCCGGGTTTTAATAAACATTAATAACGACAACAAAACTAAGGATATCAAAAGAAAAAATCTGTAATACTCAAGTACACAAACAGAAAACAAAAATTGTAAAAAATACCCTAATACCTTGTATCGCTATAACTGGTTGTCTCCCTTGGTTGCTATAACTGCCTGTAGATGTCCGTTCATACTGTCATTGAGTCATATATCATATTGCTTTATGTTTTCCAATTCTTCTTTAAGGACCAAGTGAAGCTCATTTAATGAAGCTGGTAACGCTTCGCGACCTTTTGCCAAGCATTTCCCAAACGTCGAACATGATGGGCAGTTCATAATAGTGTATAGTTCACAATAATCACCAAAGCCGCCTTGTCATATTCAAAAATAACTTCAAAAAGAAACGATAATTGAAAAAAATTGCAAATTGTTGGTGGCAAGTTCATTTCGCTCTTAAAAATTAACCAAAGTATGTATTGACATGATCCAAAAAACAAAATGCTCAGGAGACATGGTTCTGACCGTAAAATTATAATTTAGGAAAATTGACAAGCGATATTATTGCACAGGGTGTTTTAAAGTTAGGGTAAAAAAACAACCCCTCGAGTAACCCTGTATAATATGCCAAATACTAAAGTTTAAAAAAAAACTGAGTATAAGAATTAAACTTGATATAATTATATACAGCTTGCTAAATCATAAAAATAGGGCTAAAAATAACAAAAATATAACATTTTAAGTTTGACCAAAATTATCTCCGTTGCGTTTTTTTTGCATCTGAGTGTATTTGTTAAACACCCCGTGTATAGAAAACTGTCAACTTTAACTGAAGTAAGTTTTAATTATTAAACGCGTTAAACCGTCACATGAGCTTCAGAAAAATAGCTTCGCAAATATGGTTTTATATTTAGATTATTTTGTTATTTCAGTCAAAGAAAACATGGAGGAGTCGGTAATACAGGAGTTCTACAAAGGTACGAGAGTTTTCCTCACTGGAGGAACGGGTTTTATGGGAAAAGCCCTCATCGAGAAGCTGCTTAGGGACACAGAAGTAGAGACAATCTACGTCCTAGTAAGGGAGAAAAAAGGGAAAACTGCCGAAAGAAGAATAGATGAGCTATTTGATGATGTCGTAAGTTCCAGTTTAACTAAAAAAAAATGAGTCTAAGTCTATGAATAGCCAGATTTAAGAAAGGAACATATAAAAAGACTATGGTTTATCAGTGCCGTTCTAATTTTATTTGAAACGTGTAAAGATATACATGATATAAGATAATATGATTGAAAAAATGGCGTCAAATGAAATGAAGATCACTGTCATTTTATATGTAAAATGATATGCGGAATGTCATCGATCGTCATTTCCAAGCCACTGCACACACTTTTTTCGATCATAGTTATACCGGGTGCGTCTCAAAAGTGGCTCACATCTATAACTTTTTTATTTTTTCAGATAAAAAACGAGATTTGGTGTGTTAGTATACAGGGTGTCTCAGATTTTAATCGGGAAAATTTAATAGACTATAGAACTTGCAAAAATAAAACAAAAAGTTCATATCAACTTGTAAGATTTAAAGCTTCCTTTTCGAGATACACGATGTTAAAGTTACTTAAAAAAGAAAAAAAAATTAGATATTTGAGAAACTATTTAATCGATTTTGATATAACTTGACCCATTTATAATACTTACTATGGGACTTAATTTGATGTAATTATATTTAAGTTTAATGGCCAGGGGCGGCGGTGGGGCATCACTGTTAAATTATTTTAAAGGAAAAAATAGGCACGCCACTGCTTTTTTAGATGTTTAATATTATTTTTGAATTTAGTAATTAAAAATATCATTTTTTTGTCTCCTGACTTTTTTGTCAACATGAGATAAAACAATCTGAAGATATTATTATACACTTGGTAATATTTGAGGGGTACTTTCATCTCGTTGGAATTTGACTTTCTAAAAATCCGTTTGCCAAAAATAAGCTTTTTACGTCAAGCAGTTTAAGCAGAATCGTGATTAATCAATTACCCAACTTTTGAAAACACCCTGAATGATTTTTAAAAAATTTCAAAATATGTAAAAAAACAAAATAAATTATGCCTGTCCAAGCGTTTTCCCGAAAGACTAACCGTTTTTTGAATAACAAATATTGTAATGTTTGAGGGGCGTTTTCACCCTCTTGGAATTTGAGATTCGAGAAACCCCTCCTTATCGAACCTCTACACCCCACAGTCAATCCGTTTGCCAAAAATGAGCTTTAAACGTCAAGCAGTTTAAGCAGAATCGTGATTACTCAATGATCATTTTTTATGAAACACCCTGTATAAATTTTTAAAAAATTTTAAAATATGTAAAACAACAAAATAAAGTATACGTGGTGAAGAGTTTTTCCGAAAAACTCACCGGTTTTTAAATAAAAAATATACTAATATTTGAGGGGTAGTTTTACCCCCTTAGAATACGAGTTTCGAAAAATCCCTTCTTATCGAATCTCTACACCCTAAAGTCAATCCGTTTTCCAAAAATCAGCTTTTTACGTCAAGTGCTTTAAGCAGGATTCGTGATTAATCAATGACCAGATTTTTCGAAACACCTGTATACATTTTTAAAAAAATCTTAAAATATGTAAAAAACAAAATAAAATATACGTGTTTCGGAAACTTGACCGTTTTTTAAATAAAAAATATTGTAATATTTGAGGGGTGATTTCACCCCCTTGCTTGGAAAATTGAGCTTCTTACGTTGAGTGGTTTGAGCAGGATCGTGATTAATCAGTCACTGAAGAATTTTATATATTAGTATAGTTAAAAAAGTTTTCCTCCTTGTAAAAACACTCCGGGGACATACTGTAAATGTAAAAAAATAGTTTCTGTTTCGTTTCAGCTAAGTTTTTAAATAAATCAGTAATTTTTCAGGTTTTCGATAGGTTGAAATCCCATAAACCAAAATACCGAAATAGAGTGGAACCCATAGCCGGAGATTGTTCAATTGCTGGTACTAATATAAATCAAATTATATCTTAATAACGTGACTATATTAACATTCTTTTTTTCTAGGCCTGGGATTATCGATTACAGACAGACAGAAACTTATATCCACCATAAATATAGTCTTACACGTTGCGGCCACTGTAAACTTCAATGAACACATTAAACTTGCCTATAGTATTAATGTTAATGCCACTAAAGATATCCTGGATCTAGCTAAAGAAATGACAAATTTAAAGGTAAAGCAACATAATATAGTAACATACCGTACAAAATGGAAAAAATGGCCTCATGGATGGCTTAGGAAATGACCATGAATAACATTCATTGTCGCCGTTTTTTTATCGTGTGGTATTCTTATTCTTTTAACTGCACCGAAATACATTTTCGTAAATGTTTTTTTCCTTAATTAACAATTAGTTGATTAAATATATTTACTTATATTATTTTTTAGTCAATTGTCCATGTGTCAACTGCATATTCCAATTGTAATAGGAATAAAATCGAGGAAAAAATATATGACATACCTGTCAATTTTTCTGACGTCGAAACAGTCCTGGATAAAATGTCAAAGCAGGAATCGGAGTTGTGTACACAAAAGTAAGCAGTATTAGGTATATTAACTTATAGTTCATATCAAATAAACTTTTAGTCACGTGATTAATCTTGATCGGCACAGCGTTGTCCACTTTTATATATTTTCTTTTAATCAAAATATTTTAGGAAACAAAATTTAATTAATTATAAATATATAAACAACTAGCTTGTACCAGCGACTTCATTCGCGTCGAATTAATCATTTGTAATGGTGATGATATAGCAAAGCAAGAATTTCCATTAACATACAAACTGGATAAAATTTTCTCACATTTAAGCAGCATGAGAAAAAACAATATGGCGATATTATTATATAACTTGGTAATATTTGAGGGGTATAGTTTCATCTCGTTAGAATTTGACTTTCGAAAAATCCGTTTGCCAAAAATAAGCTTTTTGCGCCAAGCAGTTTAAGCAGAATCGTGGTTAAGAAATTACCCAACTTTTTGGAACACCCTGTATGATTTTTTAAAAAATTTCAAAATATGTAAAAAACCAAATAAATTATACTTGTCCAAGCGTTTTCCCGAAAGACTAACCGTTTTTTAAATAACAAATATTGTAATATTCGAGGGGCTTTTTCACCCTCTTGGAATTTAAAATTCGAGAAACCTTTCCTTATCGAACCTCTAAACCCTACAGTCAATCCGTTTGCCAAAAATCAGCTTTAAACGTCAAGCAGTTTAAGCAGAATCGTGATTACTCAATGGTCATATTTTATGAAACACCCTGTATAAATTTATAAAAAATGTTAAAATATGTAAAACAACAAAATAAAATATACGTGTTTAAGAGTTTTTTCCGAAAACTCACCGGGTTTTTAAATAAAAAATATTTTAATATTTGAGGGATAGTTTCACCCCCTTAGAATTCGAGTTTCGAAAAATCCCTTCTTATCGAACCACTACACCCTAAAGTCAATCTGTTTTCCAAAAATGAGCTTTTTACGTCAAGCGCTTTAAGCAGGATCGTGATTAATCAATGACCAGATTTTTCGAAACACCCTGTATACATTTTTAAACAATCTTAAAATATGTAAAAAAACAAAATAAAATATACGTGTTTAAGCGTTTTTTCGGAAACTTGACCGTTTTTTAAATAAAAAATATTGTAATATTAATATTTGAGGGGTGGTTTCACCCTCTTGGAACTGGAATTTCGAAAAATCCCTTCTTATCGAACCTCTACACCCTAAAATCAACCTGTATTGATTTTAGGGTGTAGAGGTTCGATAAGAATCACAGCCAAAATTGAGTTTCTTACGTTGAGTGATTTGAGCAGGATCGTGATTAATCAGTATGTCAGTCACTTAAGGATTTTATATATTAGTATAGATAACAGATAATAAATCGAAAAATAATTGTAAATGTTATAAAACTATATAAAAATATCTATTCATCAATTTAAATGCTGGATCGATCTTTGAAGTAATTTCTTGTGAATCCATTTAGACCGCTAAACGCAGGGATTTATTTTAAAATTTATGTACAAGTGACAAAAATTCATTGTTCGAATACATATATCATTCACAAAGTCTAGAGCAGAACTAGGTTCTTCTGATATAGAGACTATATCTTCATTCCCGAGAATCTATAATAGTTGTCAGAAAATGTGTTTTTGAAACAGCTGTATGTTTGCAAATTCCTACCGACATTTTGATCTGCAGTAAGTACTATACACTTTGACATAAGATCATACATACTAATTTCATTCTTGACTTAAGGCTATTTCCAAACAATAGTGTATTGTTTTATTAGGAGTAAACATTATACTTTTTTTGACGATGCTGTACCTTTGAAGGGCCATAGTAAAGCTATTCCGACGTTACAGGGAGGCACTAAAAGTACATGTTTACTCCTGATAGAACATACTATTTCTTTTAAAATATTACAAATAATTTTTTAATCAATTTCAAACATTGCAAATAATATGAACAGTAATCGAGCAACAATTTGTACACTCTTTGAATTTGACACTTAATATCAGTTTAATAATATGTTTTTGTACTTTTGTGCTTAGGCGTAACATACTTTACTTTTATTCCAGGGCGTTAAAATGACAAAAGTTAATATTTTTGAGATGTTCGAAAAAAAATTATTTGCATATTGGAATGAAATAAATTGAAATGTAATTATACAGCGTCAAAAATAAAGTACACTTTGTATAAAGTTGTGTATAAACATATTTAAATCAAATAGTCTTCTAAATGTTAACTTTCCCATTATTAATAATATGCTCATTTCTACAGGAATGCGGACAATAAATAGATCATTCGACCAGAAATCATAATCAGATGCAAAAAACCTGCGTTGAATAATTTAATCGGACTAGCTTGATTTTTCACAATTCTTCTTGTTAAATGAGTTAATTTATTTAACGCTGAACTAATTGTTTAGGCTTCTCGGAGAATGGCCCAACACATACACATTCACGAAAGCGTTGGCAGAGTCTGTGATAAAAGCCAGAGGGAATGGATTACCAATAGGAATCTTCAGGCCAAGCATCAGTAATTAAACCCACAAAAACCTTATTAGACCTATTTTTACATTGTTTTTCAACCATTTTAGTCATTTCTACATACAAAGAGCCTATGCCGGGATGGATTGACAACTTGTACGGACCCACTGGTATGGCTGTTGGGACGCTTTCTGGTATCATCAGAGTCGGAATTTGCGATGGTAAAAAAATTGCTGATTTAATTCCGATTGACACTTGCGTGGCTGCGATTGTTGCTGTTGGATGGGAAGTTGCTCAAAGGATAGATAGGTAAGATACGTACAGGGTGTCCCGAACTCAAACAAGATATTCATTGATATTTCGGAAAGTAGAAGAGATACAAAAACAGTTTGTGCAATTTTGCGCAATTTGATGCTGATCAAAATGACATCTTAAAGGCCGACGCGCGACGTTTCATCAATGAGTTAAATAAGGCTTTTTTATTACTGTACATTTAGTATACATTTTATGAGCTTCTCGGGTCCCAAAAGCAGTGGCAATTATTCGAAAAACTCATATTAATGATTTTCAGGTGAAATCCTTATGATTAGATTGGATTGGACCTAGATTAGATTGGATTCTTTGAGGTGACTATTGAACTGATTCACTTCGAGCTTTTCAGATCTATTGTGATCATCTCCTGATTCTTACATAATGATGATCGTGTTATTGCATTCTCCAATCCTATCCTTTTCAAAAAGTCTAGCAACTTGGGGATTGAATCCTCCATATAACCATCTGTGTGTGAGAACATCATATTTGCCAGGCTGTCGGACCGACATAAATTATGTTCTGGTATTTCTTTTTCAGATAATGTGGCATTTTAATTAGCATCAAATTGCACAACTTTGTCTTAATTTGACTGCCCTCGTAGCTCTTCTAGTTTCCGAGATTTTAATGATGACGCTCGAATTTGAGGCACCCTGTAGAAACACATTAAAATAATCTTTAAAAAAATATAAGTAGGTACTTCTATGCATTCAAATCTATTAAAAACAAAAGGATTTCGGACTTCCATTTTCTATTTATTTTGATTAACACAACGTTATGGTCAGAAGATCACTGACCATTGTCAACTGTAAACCAAACTAATTCCTAAAACTACTGAGCTTTTATACTGCGTCAGACATTCACCCGTGAAAAAGTTGGATGCAGTCAACCCACTAGAGTGCCTGCATTGGAGCATTTTATCAGTGGTTGCCATATCGTAAGTATTTCGGTATTAGTATTGCTATTCCTTGCAATGAAAACGGTTTCTTTAAATTTGCGCTTTTTACAATGAGGTTACTTTACATTGTGTTGTTTTGATCAAACATGGTTCTCAATACCTAACTTCATTGTTTCACCTTTTCGTTCATGTTTTTTTGTGCTCGCTAAGTGGTACCTTATTTTTATATATCTTCAATCAAAGTAATTAAAGAATTTTTCATCATACATTCTTAACACCGGATAAAGTTTTTGGAACTGGCTTTCATTCTTATGTTCTATTTTTGGATGAACCCAATAAATTCTTTTCCTGCGGTTTCGCCTTCTTTTTCGAAGCAAAAGCCACAACAGTGATTCTTCTTCAAAATTCATTTTTGACTGAATCAAAAATTTAGTTGTGGTCCGGGTGTCGTCCATCAACTCACACGGGCGACTTCTCGACGACATTTTTGTCGCGCAGTTGTGTTTGTAACTTCGCGTCGTCGATAGTTGCGACAGCTTAAACACCGTTTTGTCGTTGGAAAGTGGTCAGTGTGAGCGCAGCCTTAGAGGACGTTTAGTCTCTCAAATATACGACTCACCGCATTCACAAGGTACCTGGTAGATGTACTTTTTCTCTTAATTCAATGATTCCGGCCTTGTTTTTGTTAGGACGATTCTTAGAGTCGATCCAGATTTGCAGACAGTTTAATGTTATACTTTTTGGCTATTCGCTTAATCTTTTCTAACGTTTTCAGTTTTACAAGTTGATATAATTTTGTCTATTTTCTCAGAGTAACCATTCTGAAGCAAATCCGTTTTAATATTAATTCAAGTGATGATTGGTCACTGCATATGGTGTTTGCTCGATGACATAAAGTTTTAACTATTCCTTTCTAAGTTGCTTCTGAATGGTTTGACTGAAAACTTAAATACTGTCCCGTATGTGGGAGCTTTCTGCAGTGGCGTGCGGTGAAATTTATACAAGGGGAAGCGATTCGATAAACAGATTTTTAACAGATCACACATACGTATACTGTATACAGAAGTCTTAATAGATCCCCCATTTCTACTAACAAAGACATCCAGAAACGGCAGACAGAGGACAATTTCAATCGTAAATTTGATTGAATCATTTTGCGAATTGAGATGATTGAGAAAGGAGTCAAGGCAAGGCAGTTATATTCTCTGATTCATTAAGTGCTCTAAAGAAGATAAGCAAAACTGGAATAGACGCTGAAACGGACGAACTAACTCTGATCATAAGAAGGAAATTAATAAACAAAAGGGACGTACAATTAGCATGGATACCAAGTCATACCAACATTCATGGAAATGAGGAAGCAGATTATAAAACCTTTATACCAAAAATAAAAGAATTCTTATGCAATAAGTGGAGAGAAAGATTTGTAGCGATTGGTAGAACGAAAGGGAAAGAATATTGCACTATTGTTCAGCAGCCATACAGGACTCCATGGTTCAAACAATACAAATCCTTGACAAAGTAACAAATAACCACCATGTGTCGACTCAGATCAAACCATTGCTTATCCTCGTCACATCTCTATAAAATCAGAATCAACAGAGACAATTTGTGTCAGTGTGGAGAGGTTACTGATGTCTTTTATTTGAAAATTGCTTGTCCACACAATTATAATCACCAAAAAATTTTATACTCCTATTTCGACAATGAGCAAAAACCGATTTCCCTGCATGACATCCTTTTCAAATTCAACAAGACAGAACACATAAAACAAATCGCTTTGTTTTTGAATGTTAGTAATTTAAAACTCTAAATATTTACTAATAACAAGCCTAACATTAACCTTATAACCAAGAAAAAAAAATAGGCGCAAATTTGAAATATCATAATCACATTTTTTTGAAATGCACACTAATTGACTAAAATTGACTTAGAGCTGCTTAGTAGTGGTAGAATGCATGCATAACTGAATAGTCGCAGAGCTTAAACCAACCTGTTTAATAGCCTCAATAATTGTTAGTCGTTAAGAAAGATAAATCAGTGAAGGTCCATAAAACGTGACCACCCAGAAAAAAGAAAAGCAGAAAAGTACTTTGCCAGAATGGCCCTGGCAGCCTAGGCAACGCAACTCTTTCCTGAAAAGGAGAGTTTGAGAAGAAAGAAGAAGAAGAAGAGAGGAGTCCAACTCTCTGTCAATTCCGTTCCATATTATGAAAGTACCGTCAACATATCAGTAGTTTTAAGAATTAGTCTAGTTTACACTTGACAACGGTCAGTGATACTTCTGACCGAAACGTTGTGTTAATCAATATAAATAAAGACACATGTTCGAAATTATTTTATTTTCAATACTGAATCATTGTCTACCTCATTCAATGAAACGTTCAAATCTATGTCAGTGTTTCATTTTCTAGATATTTTTACTGTGTTTAATAATATTTAGTCAATTTTTTTTTTCTAGGAAAGTGGAAACCATTCCTGTATTTAATTATGTGTCGTCTCAAGAAAATCCGCTAAGATGGGAAGAATTTTTAAACATTAATTACGAGAACTGCTTGTCCTGTACGCCAGAAAGAATGTTGTGGTACCCTAATCTGACGATCACAACAAATCGGTACAAATACCAATTTTTAAAACTGTTTTCTCACACTTTGCCGGCGTTAGTTATGGATTTAGGATGCTTAATTATTGGAGGAAAACCCAGGTATGTAGTGACAATAACATTATTAGTGATGGGAAAAACCGATTAATTTCAATAATCGAGTACTCGAGTATCAAGCGATTGCAATAACCGAGTGATCACTCGAGCGAAATATCGCTCGTATTTAAAAATAAAAATACGGTTTTTTGTCCGTCGCATGTTGTAAGTACTCGTTAACTCCAAGCGCCAAGCAGTAAGCTGCGTGCTCAGGGTACATATTCTTTCGGTAATGAATGGCAAGTAGTAAGCGTCGAGCGATTCGCTTGATAGCCTGATTTAGTTTATTTCGAAGCATTGTCGATGTAGATCGTCAAATTTTGTCTCAGATACGCAACGGATAAATATACCGGGTGCGTCTCAAAAGTGGATCACCCCTATAACTATTTTAATTTTTCAGATAAAACAACGAGATTTGGTATGATGACATAAATTAGGATTGATTGACATATTCAATTGTCTGCAACTTTTGATTTTTAAATCGCATCCTCGGTATTTTTTTACTTTATTCGGTAGAAAATGACACTCTGAATAGAATGACATATCACATGTCAACTTTTGACATTTTCGCATATGGTTTATTTGAAATTGTAACATGCGGTTCATAACGACAATTTGACTCGAAGTACCAAGTGTGTGGTATCAAATTCTTCGTAAAAAAAATCTTTTTCGAAATATGCTAATGATCCACCCTTGTTCCATTTGAAAAAAATTGAGATATGATCAAAAATACGATTTGGGCATCTTTTAACCGGCCAGGGCAAGACACTAAAAACATAAGACGATCAAATCTATTTTTCCAAGGCTCCTTGATTAAAAATTAGTGTTTTTAACACAGCCATGGCACTCTAGATTGAAATTTAAAATACAATTTGTTTTTAAGTGAATATGTCAAAAGTTGACATATGATACGTCATTCTATTTAGAATGTCATTTTCTATCGAATAAAGTAAAAAAAATACCGACGTTGTCATTTAAAAATCAAAAATTGTAGTCATTTCCGGTGAAACAGGAAGTGACAGAAAACAATTGAATACGTCAATCAATCCTAATTTATGTCATATACTAACATACCAAATCTCATTTTTTATCTAAAAAAATAAAAAAGTAATAGGGGTTTGGTTTGGCTTTTTGCCAAACCAAACAGTAAAAATATCTAGAAAAGCCAAAGCCACTTTTGAGACGCACCCGGTATATACAGCGTCGTATAAATTTGCTACCTGCAATGTATGTAGAAAATTCGCTCGGCTTTTTATCGAGTAGGTCACATTAAAATCGGATTTCAATTTATTTCATTCTAGGATCGCTTGCGTTCGTCGCTTGGTACTCATCACTTGTATCGCTCGTTTATAATCGAGCGATGTCGGTTATTTCAATAATCGAGTACTCGAGCGAATTTTCGCTCGAGTTATCCCATCACTAAACATTATTTATTTTTTCAACTAAAATGTATCGTATGTACCCATATGCTGTTACCAGATAATAAAGCAATATCACAAATATAATTTATAACAGAGTGAGCCTTAAATGAGTGCAAATATTCTTAGGGTGGTATTTTTTAGCTAGATTGTTTGCTTTATCGTTACCATCTATGCCTTGCTAGACTGTCACCTAGAGTAGGACGATTATTATTATACAGGGTGGTCCGAACTGTATTCCGGAAACTTCGGCAGCATATTCTGAAGATAAAAATGGGTAAAAAAGTTCGTATAAATGTATGTCCTAAAATGCTTCGGAGATACAGGGTGTAGAAGTTACATTTTTATTTCGATTTTTTTTTGTTTGATATGTTTTTTTGATATCGAGAGTTTTTTGACAGGAGAGTCATATTGACATCAAAATCAAATTTCTTATGTCAAAAAACTCCCAGAGACCAATTTTCATTCAAATATTATCGTTAGTTTAGAAATTATTGGGAAACAATCCAAATAAAAATGAAACTTCTACACCCTGTATTTCCGAAATTATGCAATTTAAGATATACGAAATGTTTTACTTATTTTTATCTGCAGAATAAGCTGCCTAAGTTTCCGAAATACAGTTCGGACCACCCCGTATACCTAAAGCAAAAACAATTTATGTTTTTGTCAATATTTATTGCTTTAAAATTGTGGGTAACAAAAATGTTCTTATTGTGTGATTTATTGAAAATAAAATAGGTACATATTGCTTATACCGTTTCTAAATAAAATAACAATTTTAGGTTGTTGAAGATTTACGGAAAAGTCCACAAATTTACGGAAATTTTGGAATTCTTTTCGACGAGGGAATGGATATTCACCAATAAAAATGTACAGGGTACGTGGAGAAAACTGAACAAAAGAGACCAGGAACTATTTCCATTCAGTATGAGCACTGTGCATTGGTTAAGTTACTTTAGAACCTACCCCATTGGTGTACGAAGATATATGTTGAAAGAACCTGATTCAACTTTGGAACAATGCAATCAGAGATTAAAAAGGTACCATATTTAAATATCACAGTAAAATATCTGGATTATAGATAATTTAAACTAATCTAAATACAGGGTGTCCCACTTAAGACGGATACAAGCCAATATCTTGGTTGTTTGTTGAGCGATCTTTTTCATTTTTGGCAGGAGGCTGTATGGCTATAAGACGTACATTTTGCCGAGTGTAAGAAATGCGATACCTCATAGACGTACGTTTAATGGGGTTCGATATTTTTCGAGTCAAGAGTAAACTACCCTTAAGACAGTATTTATTTCAAATCTGATAAATTATATTGAATCCTCCTTACCTAAGATACTTAAGTTCTAATTTTGATAAATATTGATGCAGGGTGCGTCATTAAAATAAGACATTTTTATTTTTATTATTATTTTTTTAAGTACTTACGACGCCACTGGATAAACAACAGGTTTATTATCAATAAGGGTAGTTTACTCTTGACTCGAAAAATATCAAACCCCATTAAAACGTACGTCTATGAGGTATCGCATTTCTTACCCTGGGCAAAATGTACATCTTATAGCCATACCGCTTCCTGCCAAAAATGAAAAAGATCGCTCAACAAACAACCAAGATATTGGCTTGTATCCATGTTAAGTGGGACACCCTGTATATACAGGGTGGTCCGAACTGTATTCCGGAAACTTCGGCAGCATATTCTGCAGATAAAAATTAGTAAAAAAGTTCGTATGTTCTAAAATGCTTAGTTTCGCAGATACAGGGTGTAGAAGTTTCATTTTTATTTCGATTTTTTCCAAATAATTTATTAAGTAACGTCAATATTTGGATGAAAATTGGTATTTGGTAGTTTTTTAACATGACAAATTTGATTCTGATGTCAATATGACTCCTATTTGTAGGGGGCGCCACCTACATATTTTTACTGGTTTGAGGACTAATAACTTTTCGTCCGTGCCTGTATAAAAAAGGAAAAAATATACATCTACGACGACTTTTACGCAAAAAAGGTACGAGTAATGGTTCTCAAGATTTGGAATCGAAATTATCAGTACTTGTCATCATCGACATAAATTACTTGTTGACTAAATAGTTATTAGACTGAAATCATAAATTTGAAACATTTTTGTGCCAAAAGTTCAACAGAAACTATTTTATCATCATTTTTTCGCAGAAAAATTTATGATTAATTAAAAAAAAAATTCCCAAATTGATTATTTCAGTCAAATAACTATCTACTCAACGTGTGTTTATTTTTTGTCAATAATGAAATGTATTGACCATTTCCATTCCAAATATCTTGAGAACGGTTGCTCGTAGCAATTTTTACCAAGAGACATTTTTTACGTAAAAAGTCACGGAAATATATATTTTTTCACTCGGTAGTTTTATACCGGTACGGACGAAAAGTTATTACTCTTCAAAACAGTTAAAACACATGTAGGTGGCGTCCCCTACAAGTAGGAGTCATGTTGACATCGAAATCAAATTTCTCATGTAAAAAAATCCCAGACACCAATTTTCATCCAACTATTGACGGAACTAAAGAAATTATTTGGAAAAAAAATTAAATAAAAATAAAACTTCTACACCCTGTATCTCCGAAACTAAGCATTTTAGGATATACATTTATACGAACTTTTTTACTTATTTTTGTCTGCAGAATATACTGCCGAAGTTTCCGGAATACATTCGGACCACCCTGTATATCGTTTTGTTTTATTTTTTTTTTAATTTTGACATAAGAATATATTTTGTCCTGTTTGTTAAAAACTCTGTATTTCTTTTTCAGATACGAATTTATGCACAGAGCCTTGAAGGCATTCCTCATCGTATTAGTGGCAAATTTTGGATCCTCATTCGTATTCTCCTTATTAAGAAATTTATTAAAATTATTTAAATAAGAATAAAACCTACTTTTGCCTAAAAGATAAACTTAATTTCTATTACAAATAAGTGATTTAACATATTAGTATTAGAGCTTGTAAATAGTGATTGTAAATACATTTTTACTTAATAGAGTCGATTATTCTTATTAAATTCGATAGACTGTCCAAATATTGTAGGATTAAAAGTATATGGTAATATAAAAATTAATAAAATTAATACTTTTTGTTTCAATAAACTCTTGTAGTAAATACAAAATATACATTTCTGTACTGGTAATTTTCTTGTCTCTTCTCCTCCTGGGTACTTGTAAGCCATCAGCAAGCCTAATTAAGAAAAAAGGTAGCAATGTGACCCATAAATTAACCACCGCTCTGATTGACGGCTGTACCTGGCAGTCGAGTAACTACAGTTTTTGATGTTGAGTTGGTAACATAGAGAAAGTAATAATACATTTTATTATCTTTCTCTATGGTTGGTAATGTTCAGTTAAAATTCGTAGTACTGTTTAAAAACTGCTTCTGAAAATTGCCAAAACTGTTGTTCTCTTATTGGGGCATATATACTGCAAAATATCTAAATTAGAATAGGCTAATTATTGAAGTTTTGTAGAGCAATGTCTTTAATTTTCTCAAAGATATAAAACACAATATAATCGAAAAAACTGCATAAAGTTGATTAAAAAAAAATTTCAAGTTAACGTCTCCTTTTTGCTGCCAGGGCTAATCTGGACGGGGCCTACTTTGTTTACGCGGAATCCCAACCGCGGTTTTAACTTATTCGAATGTCTAAATCGACTTTCACTCACGAGATATCCGATCTCATCCGACCTCGAACCGGCGTGAATGAGCAGTGTGTGTCAATAGAATTTACACTCAGCACGATACAGAGTTTCGAACCGGTCACCCGTCCATTGAAGCTTGACTCTCATGCGTCCGTTATCCGTCCGACCGACCGCGACGACGCTCTGATTGGTCTTAAGCCGGGTCCACATATGTAGCACTCTATTGTATCAGGATCATGTATCACGTATCAAGAGTATGGGTCGTAAGTATGGACGTTTATTTGGGCTGTGTCGACTGAATATGCATATCGTGCCAAAGTAAGCGTCCATACTTATAAAATTCATACGTATCAGCTTACAAGCGTGCGTATCAGTGTATGTGGACGGTACAACAAATCACCTTGTATCGTCATATCATGTTCATCAATTCTCATTTATATTATCAGGACGGAACCCTCGATGCCCCTTTGATGATCGGAGAAAAACCGCCCCAAAGCCGGGTCCACATATGTAGCATCTTCGTGTATCATATCTCCGTCGCGTTGCACCAACATCTTGTTGTCATGATCGCTAGTTTGGACGCCGAATTAACGCGATCATATGGTACACCTTTGTGATACCGTATCTGATACATGCCAATCCGAATTTTGGCGCGTATCTTAACACTGCGTATCGGATGCACGTATCACGATCTGTCATTTGGACGTGTTTTGATACAGTATAACGATACAATTGACTTGATACGCCGTGACCCGTCTTGAGGCGGTTTTTCTCCGATCATCAAAGGGACATTGAGGGTTCGCTGACAAGAATTGATAAACATGATACGACGATACAAGGTGATTTGTTGTACCGTACATATACAATGATACGCACGCTTGTACGCTGGTACGTATGAATTTTATAAGTATGGACGCCTACTTTGGCACGATATGCATATTCAGTCGACACAGCCCAAATAAACGTCCATACTTACGATACAAGCACTTGATACGTGATACATGATCCTGATACAATAGAGTGCTACATATGTGGACCCGGCTCAAGACGGGTCACGGCGTATCAAGTCAATTGTATCGTTCTACTGTATCAAAACACGTCCAAATGACAGATCGTGATACGTGTATCCGATACGCAGTGTTAAGATACGCGCAAAAATTCGGATTGGCATCGATCAGATACGGTATCACAAAGGTGTACCATATGATCGCGTTAATTCTGCGTCCAAACTAGCGATCATCGTACATGTTGGGGCAACGCGACGGAGATATGATACAGCAATTTGCTACATATGTGGACCCGGCCTTAGCGTTTCCGCGCCACTTTTTATCCGAGGCAACGACCCAGCTACGTCGAAACACCAGTTCCCATTAGAACACCGAAGTTAAGCGACGTAAGGCGATACTAGTGGATGGACGGGTGACCGGTTCGAAACTCTGTATCGTGCTGTTGTCCAAGGCAAAAGTGTAAAATCTATTTACACACACTGCTCATTCACGCCGATTCGAGGCCGGATGAGATCGGATATCTCGTGAGTAAGAATCGATTTAGACACTTGCCAAGTCAGTAGGCCATTGACCATGATATGGCCGAGGACCGCGGTTCGGATTTCGCGTAAACAAAGTAAGCCCCGTCCAGATTAACCCTGGTAGCAAAAAGGAGACGTTAACTTGAAATCTTGACTTTACTTTTCATCCGTAAATTTTTATCCAGCCCGTCAACGGAGAAAGATCGTACGATAATGGATGTTTTGACACTTTTTTAACAAATTTAATCTAACCTTAGTTCCTTACTAAAAATATAATGGTATACAAGAGCTAGCACCGTCGGGATAACGAGACTTTTAAGAAAGGTTATTCTTTGCTATGCTCTACTGACCAAAGTGCGGGCCATCTTTACTAATGCGCATCATATCTCTACAGGGTACTCCATTTTCGTGTGTTTTATCGGATTTATGAGTAGAAATACAATGATGCGATATTCACATTACTTTGCTATTTTTTTATGAAACTAAATCCGCTACACATAGGTTGGTAATACAGGGCGAATTTGTGATGCGCAGTGTGAACAGATATTGAATAGAGCATGATGCGCAGTAATAAAAGTAATGTCTACCAGCAGCCAGCCGGTCCGCACTGTATTCAGGAGTTCAGGAAAGCAATCAAAAGATATATTATCCAGCTTTCCTAAAATTCTCTCTCGAAAACATTGCTAGCTTTTAGACTATAAGTAAAACAGCGAAATCGTTATGGAAGTGAAAATATAAAATGACACCAATCACAAGCAAATCGTATATCCGATGAACGGAGGCATGAAAATACAATAAATTTAAAAACTGCGCAATTTTCTAACCAATCGAAATTTTTAAATTCAACCAATAAAATTTATATCGTATCAACGTATCGTCGGACAACGGATCGGATGCATGAAAATCAAGCTAAGCCCAAACAATATTTTAATACCCCTAAGAATTGGCTTGGAAATGAAGGTCGCTGTCATTTTATATTCAATATTATATGATACGAGCCCCTTAGCCAGGGTTCGGAAGTAGTTAATTAAGACGTAATTTACCTGATTAACTACGTGTAGTTTTTCTTCAAAAACTACGTCTTTTCCCGTTCATTAACTACATGAAAACTACGTTAATAAACTATGTATTGATATTATGAATAATTTTGCTTTGTATGAGGGGTCTAAATAATATGATGTGTGAATATTATATTTAAATCCATATTTCTTCTGTTTTCTTAAATATATTGTGTTTTCTAAAGCTTCCACTTATTATAACCTCACCTCAAACATTTGATATTTGAAAGTTACATACATAAGTTACATAAACTACACCCTCTACATAAACTACATTAACTACATGTAATGTAGTTTATGTAGTTTTTAAAGTAACATGTAGCTTTCCGAATCCTGCCCTTAGCTACACGCTGCACGTGAGTCCAAAATTATCATTTTGAGAAAACAACGTTTTTGGTGTTTTATTTGATATTTAATTCCAGACAGTGACGCATCTAGAGATTGAGTCTGGGAATGGTAGTGGCAATATATTTAAATAAAGTATAAAATTTAAATTAATTTTTTTCTTCATTGTGAATGTAGAAAAAAAAATTGGATTGGTCTGGATTTTCTATTTTAATTGGTACTATTAATATATTTTGTGACAGTATAAACTTTAACTTTAGTATTTTAAATTAAAATATTTTTTTAAGAGTGTTTTATTAAAGTTTATGAATGATCTTTTTATGTAACCGGCCCCCCTATTTAAGCGCCTTCCTTCTCTTTACCTTCACCGTTGACCAATGCTCTCTAAATGGAAAAAGAACAGAAATTCTTCAGTCAGGCCTGTAAAACTGAAAGGTTTGGTTTGGTTGGTAACGAAAAATGAAAGTAATCGTTTTTATGCAAAATAGTAAGAAATGATACGGTAAGTACAATTAATTCAGATTTCAACGCTATTTCTTTTATATAACTTTAATTGTTTTAATTATCATCGGACATATCTGATTTATTTATACAGGGTGAGTCATAAATAAGGCCAGTCATTTTTCAAGTGTTGTAAAATGTTGAAAATTTTGTTTTTATTTCATTAAAGTTTTAAATTTTCAGTTAAGAAATATAATAACATACGATCGAAAAAAACACCAATAAAGACGACTGAAAAATGGCAATCGATAATGATTTTGACGAGGTCAAGCCCTAGACGTCATTTGCTTTGTCCGTACTCTTCTTTATTATTGAGTAAAAATAATTTTAAACAGTGTAGTTTATTAAATTTTTAATAAATGGCGTCTAGATATTGAGCTCGCCAAAATTATTATCGATTGTTACTTCCTAGCCGTCTTTGACTTATTTTGATTATACGGTATCTATTTATAATGTGGCAATAAAGATGGTAAATTAAAATTAACAGAACGAAAAAATAGAAAAAAAAACAGTAGGATCAAATCAAAATAAAGAAAAAAAATATATTCTTAAAATTTTCAAAGTGGGATAACTCGGCTATTTTAGACTTATTTGAACAACTACACAGGGGAAATATATTTCTTTTATCGATATCTACCACCTAAATGAAAATATTTGCACGTATTTAAAACTCACCCTGTATATTTATTACAAAACGTTTCGGTTCGTTGTTTTTATATTCATTTTTTTTACTTATTGTTTGCTATTTTTACTATATAAAATATTCAATTGAAAAAAAAACTGCGTTATACTAGCCTTTAAAATAATGATCGATGCCAATTTCTGTTGAGCCGAACCGTATGTGCGTTTATTAAAAATTGACATAAAAATATGTCATATGTTAAATTAAGACAAAAAAAGTTTTCAGAAACAAATCAATTTATCAAAAACTATGTTTTATTATAAATTAATAATAATGTGATTGATAGGCATGGTCTAAGATTGTAAATTTTATATTTTGACTAGTATTTATGTCCATTTATGATAAAATTAATTTAAAAAATGTAGGTTTCTAAATGTTACTAGATATAAAAAAAATAATAATTTAAAAAGTATTTACAAAAATAGAGCATTTGAAAAAGAAAATGAAAATTTTCATTGATGCACGTACTTTCTAAGTGCATGATTATGTTGCTTTTAAACAACTACACAATTTTATTGCTCTAAGTACTTGTTGCAAGAACAGTAATCTTGACCTAATATTCCGTGACAATATAAACATTAAAAGTAAAAGCTGCTGCTACTTTTCTTTTATTTATTCTTTTTATCGCGTTTTCTTTGCTTTATTTGATGGCATAATATTTTAAACGTTTCAAATGGTTAAATGAAAATATTTAATATTGTTTCACAAATATCTTTAAAAAGAAAACTGATAAAATTAAAATTTAGTTTATATAAGTAATTTTACTATTGTTATCTCTTTTTTCCTTGATATCTTATTACAAAGTGTCTCTAGTTGAGATTAAATGAAAACTATCTCTAAATCTGAGATTTTTTAACATGACTGACAATGATTAACAAATTAAAATATTTTTAATATTACTATACTTTCGCAAAAACTGAAAGTTAGCAATAATTGTAAAGTCTACTCAAGAAATCAGAGAAAATTTCGACAGACGACGTTCAAGAGATGTCAGAAAATGCAATTTATCTGTGAATAAAAATAGCAAGTGTCACTATCAGGTATCTTCTCGATGAACAGACTATAGTTTTTAGTCCGTTCGACTATAGAATGTGGCAGTGACAGTTGGTGTTTCTCTTTTTAATTAATGAGTAAATTATATTTTCTGTAGTTTTTGGATGTTGTCTGTCGAAACCTGTGGTACTGTGGTACTTCATATATTATTTAAAATAGATAAGGGTAACTTAATTTATTTACATTTAAATTTTTTATACACTATTATTAATTTTGATGTCAAACAGTCTATACTTAAAATTTACTTAAAAAAATTGGAGTGGGAAATAGCTTGTAGTCTAAATACTACAAGTTATTGATCAATAGATGTAGGTACAAAAATTGTAACTTAAAAATATTTATATCTAGATATTGTAGTTTTCTATAGTTTATCCTACGAGAGAAGGTTGTCACAAGACAGTGGTTGTCTGTCATTTTAAGTCTTTTATTGAACGGACTTCAGAAACTTAACCTAATGCAAGTTGAACCAGGCACACCCAGTATACAGGGTGGTCCAAATTGTATTTCGGAAACTTCGGCAGCATATTCTGCACATAAAAACAAGTAAAAAAGGTCGTATAAATGTGTGTCCTAAAATGCTTAGTTTCGGAGATACAGGGTGTAGAAGTTTCATTTTTATTTCGATTTTTTCCAAATAATTTCTGAAGTAACGTCAATATTTGGATGAAAATTGGTGTCCAGGAGTTTTTTGACATAAGAAATTTGATTTTGATGTCAATATGACTCCTACTGGTAGAGGGCGCCATCTACATATGTTTGAACTGTTTTGAAGCGTAATAACTTTTTGTCCGTACCTGTATAAAACTACAGAGGGTAAAAATATACATCTCTGCGACTTTTTACGCAAAAAATATCTCTTTGTAAAAATCGCTACGAGCAACCGTTTGCAAGATATTTAGAATGGAAATAGTCAATACATGTCATTACTGACGAAAAACGAACACGTTGAGTAAATATATAGTTATTTCGCTGAAATAATAAATTGGGGAAATTTTTATTTTTTAAATTAATCATAAATTTTTCTTCAAAAAAATGATGATAAAACAGTTTTTGTTGAACTTTTAGCACAAAAACTTTCAAATTTATGATCTCAGTCTAATAACTATTTAATCAACATGTTTAATATATGTCAATTATGACAGGTATTGATAATTTCGATTCCAAATATCTCGAAAACCAATACTCGTAGCGATTTTTATTAAGAGACATTTTTTACGTAAAAAACTGTTACGTAGAAAAATGTATATTTTTTTGCTCAGTAGTTTTATACAGGTACGGGCGAAAAGTTATTGCTCTTCAAACCAGTTAAAGAATATGTAGGTGGCGCACTCTACTAGTAGGAGTCATATTGACATCAAAATCAAATTTCTCATGTCAAAAAACTCCTAGACACCAATTTTCATCGACATATTGACATTACTGCAGAAATTATTTAGAAAAAATCGAAATAAAAATGAAATTTCTACACCCCGTCTATCCGAAACTAAGCATTTTAGGACACACATTTATACGAACTTTTTTACTTATTTTGATCTGCAGAATATGCTGCCGAAGTTTCCGGAATACAGTTCGGACCACCCTGTATAATGTATAACCTTTTAAACATTAGGTAATATTGATTAGTCAAAATTGAGTTCAAAGAAAAATATGTCTTTGTAGATTTTTAACCCAGCCCCTTTGTTCACACATAATAATAAGAAGACATCTTTTAATTTTTCTACACTAGTCATATAAAATTTTCTACTTAAGAATAGTCAATTATTATTATGTAATCTTATTTAATAGTATCTGTTTAAGATTGCTGCTTTTATGATTATATTCAATAGTAAAACACATATTTTTAAAACTAGATAATTAATTCCTGAATTTGCATCTCGAAATTTCACTTCCTAGCCCAAACTTTCACTAACCCAGTCAAATTTGCCAACTAATTTTTGTTAAATTACTTGACATAGTTACTTACCTATTAAGTTTCATTATTGAAAATTTCTAATGCAAGAAACTATTAACAGAACTATTTTTTTCCTAGATTTGATATAATTAAATATATTCGGGACTGGTGGAGACAGAAGAATAAAGATCAAAATCAAGATGACACAATTGTTAAAGATATACTATCTCCATTTCCTAAACAAGTAAGTGGTAAAATATTTGCATATAATAAACTATAATCCTAAAACCAATAGTTTTTATCATTAAAACCAAGCTCTTTAAAAAAAAATAAAAAATAATTTAAATAATAATGAGTTTATAGAGTTAGAGAAAACTATTTATGAATAAAGAATTATATGTACATATATTAACTTAATTAAATGCCATCTATAATCACTATATTAGAGGTATTTGTGAAGTATTACCTAATTTAAATCATTTTAACATTCAATTGAAGAATTATGTTACCTACTGTTTAGAAAAAAAATAGTGCTATCTCTAGATCTTTTATTTCAAAGGAGATCCATTATATTATTTTCATTTAATTTTATAAATTAATAAGTAAATCATTTCATGGTTAAAATTTAACAAAAGCCGGTAGTCTAACAAAATTTATTAGACAGGCTGCATTATTTTTGTTAGATTATTTAAAAATGTCTCCTAAACTGTACGAGGTAAGATATTTTAAATTGTTGAGATTTTTTCTTAAATTTTAAGAGTCACTGAATTTTTTAATTTTATATCTATGTTGCAGCAACATAGAACATTTCCATTTTTTTACCAACATTGTTGCTACATTATCAAGATTTTATATTTTTTAACTAGAGACTCAATAAAATATTTCAAAAACACAACATTTTCAACATTTTCCTAACGAAGAAACCAAACCAAACAGACGTGTTTATGGTGTCGAAATAATCTAAAATTATTAGTACTTATTACTCGTCCTGTATACAAGGTGTTTCAAAAAATATGTTTCATCTCTCGTAGGGAGATTCCTCATAATTTATTTTTCATACCAACGTAGCGTAGATCCGATTCTGCTTTGTTACTTGTTTCTTAGCTACAGGGGTTTAAAATCGTCATTTTATATCGATTTATTATAAGGCTTTGAATGAAATTTTGAGGATAAAAGTTACTATAAGTGCTAAAAAAGTGTCTAGGTCTATAACTAGGAACGTTATATTTTTCTATAAAAAATATAACTTAATATTTTTCTATAAAAAACATGTGTGGTGAATCTGTCAACACTTTTTAACACGCCCAAAATTTTATTCGAATCGATAAATGTACTTGGAAGAAAATTATATTAAATAAAAAAAAATGGAAACTTTAACCCCCTGTAGCTACGAAACAAAGCAAAATCGGACATATATGTTGATATAAAAAACTTGTTTTTACATGAAAAATCTCTCCACGAGAGAAGACACATATTTTTTTTTACAACCAAACACTCTATATAAATAATCAGGTTATAATTAATATTTTTTTTTAATTTAAATTATTGATGCTATAATATTTACTATATAGATTTTGGCTGCTTTGGGACCTTTATTACTTACAATCGTAGTAGGAATGACGTTTGGATATTCAGCAGTATTACTGCCTCAGTTACAGTCAGCTAACTCTAGTAACACTACCAACAGTATACGTATTAATAGAGAAGAAGCATCTTGGGTAGGTAAGAATTTTGAAAACTTTTGATTAATGCAATTTTGATTGGAACTTTTGTTGTTAAAGCAGAAAATTATACAAGTCTACCTCAGTACATCAAAACAATTTGTATTAAATTCTGTGCACACATTATATTTACTAAAACTATGAATAATAATCTCCTGTAATCATCTGCTGACCATCAGCATACCTTCTACCGGGTGTTGCATCGTCGAGCGGGACATAGGAAATCCCATGTAAATTTTAATGGGGTCATTTATTGGCTTCCCTAATTATTTTAGAGAATAATTCTATTTAGGTTTATTGAAGAGCACTAAAACCCACATTCAAAAGAATAACTTTAGATATTTTTGATTAGCCCGTTTACGAGTTATCGCCGATTTCTTTTTAAATATTTCTGCTTTCTTATGGCCCCGTATTTACTTATGAGCACCAGTCAAGGTGAAAGATAACTGTCAAATGAAGTTGTCATTTCAGAAATTTATCTATTTAGTGCTTTATTATATGCTTTATTATTATTATTATTATTAAAAACTCATACCTACATCGAAAATATTAGCCATGAATTACACTACCGAAGAAAAAAGTATTGATGATTAAATGGTATTATCAAGAAAATAGTTATCAAAAGGTGTCGGACATGTTTGCTGCTCTGTATCCGAATTTATTGATACCTGGAAAGTCTACAATCGCAAGGAATATCCAGAGATTTGAGACCAAAGGTACCCTAATAAATAACTACAGATGTGAAACAGGGCAGGAACAAAGAGAAAATGCAAGAAATGATACCGACTTGTTTTGATATGATGGAAAGAGCAAACACGGATAGGGAATTTTTAAAAAACATATGTTTCACTGACGAATGCACGTTTACCTTAAATAATGAACCCAATGTTCAAAATTATCGATATTGGAACAAAGAAAACCAACACAGATTTGTCGAAACAAGGACGCAATATCCACAGAAAGTAAATGTTTGGGCAGGGATATTCGGACACAATATTATCGGGCCATTATTTCTTACGCGAAATTTAAATGCAGAATATTATTTGGAACTACTCGAAAATCATATTTTACCTGCTTTACATGATGCCGCTAGGGAAAATCAGGAAGTTTGGTACCAAATGGATGGCTGCCCGGCACATAGTACCCTGGCTGTTCGGGAATATTTAGACAATAGTTTTAACGGAAACGTTATTGGCCTAAATCATACAGTAAATTGGCCAGCAAGGTCTCCTGATATTTCGCCGAATGATTTCTTTCCCTGAGGCCATTTAAAAAACAGGATATTATACAAGGATAAAAAATACCCACCAAACCAAATCTAGACGAGTTAAAAAATGCTATTTCTGCCGAATGCAATAGAATTTCAGTTTACCAACTAGCGAATGTATGAAGAGAATTTTATGATCACCTGGGTTATTGTCTAGCAGTCGATGGACGAATATTTCAACATCTTCTTAAATCCTAAAGTTCTAACAATTTAATAGTACCTAAATTAATAAGTTATTGAATATTGTAATAATACTATAATGAACCTTGTAATTGATTACTTTATTTTACTTTAATTCATATTAATTTGTATTTATAAATACATCTTTAAGATTTCCGATGTAGGAATGAGTTTTCAATAATAATAAAGTACTAAATAGGTAAATTTCTGAAATGACAACTTCATTTGACATTTATCTTTTACCTTGACTGGTGCTCATAAGTAAATACAGGACCATAAGAAAGGAGAAATATTTAAAAAGAAATCGGCAATAACTCGTAAACGAGCTAATCAAAAATATCTAAAGTTATTCTTTTGAATGCGGGTTTTGGTGCTCTTCAATAAACCTAAATAGAATTATTCTCTAAAATAATTAGGGAAGCCAATAATTGACCCCATTAAAATTTACATGGGATTTCCTATGGGATATAATACATTAGTGATTTGAATTAGCAAGTTTCTCTAATTTCAATGTAAGCATTCAAAATGTTAAAATTAGTGGTAGTAAATTTTATTTAGTGGAAAAAATTAACAAACTTTTGCCACAAATTATACTTCCTGAATAGACCTGCCTACCGCGACTGGCTGTTGCTAGAATTTTCTATTTATTTTAATTGTATTTTAAAGACATTGTGAATAGTGATTCCGGAACCGGAGCCGTTTAACGTAACCGCGAATTTCGGTAACACGCCTGTAAGGAACTGGGACTTCCCGGTTTTTTCGGTACTTTCGGGGTACTGGCTAATTTTTTGTTCAATGATGGCACATTTCGTCAATCAGCAAGCAAGGGATGGTTTTCAAAAATAAAATCGATAGAAATATGTGTTTTTTAATGAAAATAATTGCACAAGTTTACAAATTCGGGTCAACTTTTGGACCCAAGCAGATGAGAACGATTCTTAACGTTATTTGATGCCCTGAACTTAGATCTTTAATCCGTTTGTCAAGATTAGCTCTAGTTTTCGGTGTGGCCGAGTCGTACCCACTATGAGCCAGGACAACAAAATGTGTCCTCTGTACCACTTGGAAACCCACTGGACGTTTTACTGCCACCTCTTCACATTAAACTTGGCCTTATTAAGAACTTTGTCAAAGCGCTCAATCGCGAAGGACCGGCTTTCCAGTACTTAACCAACTTGTTTCCAAAACTGTCATACGCAAAAATCAAAGAAGGAATATTTGTCGGACCTGATATTCGAAAACTAATGGCTGACGTAACGTTTACAAAATGTTAACGCTTGATGATAACGCATGGGCATCGTTTCAAAGTGTTGTTCACAACTTTCTCGGTAATCATAAATCACCGGATTACAAGCAAGCAATCGATAACTTGTTGCAAAATTACCACAAGATTGGAGCTCCAATGTCTTTCAAGATACATTTTCTGCATTCACATCTTGATTTTTTTCCACAAAACTTTGGCGACACGAGCGACGAGCAAGGAGAGCGACTACACCAAGATATAGTGAAAATCGAAAGGCGATACCAAGGATTTTGGGACGAAGGCATGATGAGCGATTACTGTTGGACCGTAATCCGTGAAACAGATCCCAAGCAGTATAAAAGACTCAGTTCAACCTCTGTTCATTTCGGATTTATATTGTTTAATTCAATAAATGACCGTTAACGATCAAAAATAGTAAAATAATGAATTTATTGAATATTTCGAAAACTAGAACCAATCTTAAAAAATGGACTGCTGATTTGGATTCAGCTCCAAAAATTATCTTAGAAATTGCTTTTAGTTGTTCAGGCCCAAAACCGTGTATACTTGTGTAATCAAAATTTAAGCATAATGTTTTTTATACAGGACCACTTTAAAAATGTAAAATTCACTCAAAACTAAAGTGGTTATTTTCTTAAAAATTATTTTAAATAGTTGCTTAAAAAGCCATTATGGAAAGCAAATAATGTCGTATGTAAAGTATATTTGTCTAACGGCCCCAGTACACGTTTGGCCAACTAGTTGGACCAATGACCAATGAGAGAACCACCGCAGCCGCGGCAATTGATTTGTACAGTGCTTTCAATTTTTATAGAAAGGTGCACCAAACGAAAGTGATTAAAAAAAATGGCGTAAAAGAAGTTTATGTTGTTCATGTACAAATCTATAACATATAACATATTTGTACATTGGTACAAATCTATAAATCTTAAAATTTCTTCGCTATTCCAAACCGCCGTCGTAGTGGCCATCGAATTTTTCTCCACAAAAATTGAACACTAAGTATACAGTACAAGGAGAGCGGCTACACCAAGATATAGCAAAAATCGAAAGGCGATACCTTTGGCGATACCAAGGATTTTGGGACGAAGGCATGATGAGCGATTACTGTTGGATCCTAATCCGTGAAACAGTTCTCAAGCAGTATAAAAGACTCAGTTCAACCTCTGTTCATTTCGGATTTATATTGTTTAATTCAATAAATGATCGTTAACGGTCAAAAATAGTAAAATAATGAATTTATTGAATATTTCGAAAACTAGAACCAATCTTAAAAAATGGACTGCTGATTTGGATTCACCTCCAAAAATTATTTTAGAAATTGCTTTTATTTGCTCAGGTCCAAAACCGTGTATACTTGTGTTATTAAATAATCAGTCAAAAAAAGATTCCTATAAAAACAACATAAAATATAACTAATAAATTGAGCAACACTATTTATTTAGTACTAATAAATTGAGCAACACGTTTTATTTCGACCGCTAGAAAGAACAATGAACTTTCGCATGTAACAAAAAAAATTTAATCAGTAATAAAAAATTTCCGTACCGAAAGTACCGAAAGAGCCGGGAATTTTTATTTCTAGTCCCGGTTCTTTGATGGCTCAAAAGAACCGGAAATTCATACTTGCGAGACCGGGATTTTCCGGTTCTGAAGCCTAATCAACACAAATGAACACAAGTGAAGGAAAAACGAAAAAAAAAATAGGAAACTTAAAATTTACACCAAAAAACATAAACCAATTTATAACTAAATTTGAAAAAAATTACAATTTCAATTAAAAATGTAACTGCCTATAAAAACATAACATAAAATATAATTATATTGAGCAACATTATACTTAATAATAAAATAACATATCTAAACTTCAATAATAATTGTTAATAAACATTATAGGAACTTCAAAAGAACTTCAGAAGTAATAGTACGAGAGCTTGCAACGTCGGGAAAACAAGTATTTTAAGACGTCTGGCTCTTTGATATATCTTTTATTGTGATCTCTGGAACAGCGTGCACGCCGTCTGGCTGCTGATACACGTTGCGTTCACTACTGCGCATCCAAAGAAGATCCTCTATTTTTTTTACTTAGCAGTTTAAATTCTAGTATTGAATAAAAACCGAGCAAATCTCCATTAGCTCGGCGCGTAGAGCTTTCGCCTATGAAGCGTAGGTCAGTGGTTCGATACTGGCTGGGGGTGCAACTTTTTTATTTTTTTTTTTCGTTTATATTCTGATAGTAAAGTAATAAATATTTGCTGACACTAATATTAAATAAAAATATTTAATTCAATTATAATATGTAATTAGATTGTAATGATTTAAACATACTGTCTAAAAATAAAACTAAAAATGTTGGCCGTAATTTTTTCTTGCCTCATTCATAAAAATATTTAATTTTTTTATAATTTCATTTTAAAGATTTAAACATAATATATAAAAATTAACATTTTAATGTTTTATTAACGTAATTTCTGCCTGTCTTTCTTCAAAATATTTTTTTCAGCTGTTGTTTATCATTTTAATAATCATTTTAATAATACTTTTTTTAACAGATTGTTATCTAAAAGCTACACAAGTTTATTTTCAGTTCAGTTTGTTAAGATAACGATGGAAAACAAAATTATCTGGTTAAATTAAATAAAATAAAATAATAATATTTTTTAAACAAGATTGATTAATGTTAATGTGTAGAAAATGCGCAAATCTATGGGTAGAATATTTAATTACATAAAGAACTAGCAAAGTAATGTGAAAAAAAACGCATCATTGTTTCGTATGTAACAAAAATAATTTTTAATTACATTTTATTAACGAGTAAAAAAAATTCGGTACCGAAAGTACCGAAAGAACCGGGAATTTTTATTTCGAGTTCCGGTTCTTTGACGTCTCAAATGAACCGGAAATTCCCGGAACTTTCGGCAAAGAATAAGTTGAATTATCTTTGCTTTCGGTACCGGAATTTCCCGGTTCCGAACCCTAATTGTGAATGATCCTAAATGTTTAAGTATAAAGTATAATCGAAATCACTAATTTCGAGGTTCCGAATGAGGCTTAAGGTATAATAATTTTATACCGAAAGTGTAGGGAAACATATATTCAAAGCAATAAAAAATGTTGTACGTGATAAAATATCATTTTTTAAAATCAATAACAAGTTATTTTTTAGCTTCATTGGCAGTATTGCCTATGGCACTAGGCACACTAATCGGGGGAGCCTTTATACAAAAGTATGGCAGAAAAATGACGCACCAAATAATGTGCCTTCCTTACTTTGCCGGATGGATGGTCATTTATTTCGCATTCAATCTGGAAATGATTCTCGTTGGGCGATTTCTAACAGGGTTATGTTCTGGAATTTTAACACCTGCAACTGGAGTGTATATAGGAGAAACCAGCGCTCCAAAGTATCGAGGAGTTTTATTGGGTAATTACCTATGGACAATAATTATACATGTAAATAAACGAAATTACCTTATTATATACTCGAAAAACGGACACCATAATTGACAGATGGCAATTTTCATTTTTAATTTAGAGAAAGATACTAAAAAGTCAAATAATTTAGCTACAAATTGCTTAAAAAATTGTCAAAATCGGTCCACTAAAACACAATACCGGGTGCGTCTCAAAAAAAAACCCTAAAACTTTTTTATTTTTTCAGATAAATAAACGAAATTTGGTTGTTAGTATATGACATAAATTATGGTTGATTGACGTATTCAATTGTTTTCGGTCACGTCCTGTTTTACCGGAAATGACTAAACCTTTTATTTTTAAATGGCACCCTCGGTATTTTTTTTTACTTTATTCGATAGAAAACAACACTCTGAATAGAATGACATATCATATGTCAAGGTTTGACATTTTCACATATGGTTTATTTAAAATTATAACATGGGGTTCATAACGAAAATTTGACTGGAAATACCAAGTGTACGGTATCAAATTATTCGTAAAAAAATGTTTTTTCCAAATATGCTAATGGGGCACCCTAGTTCCATTTGAAAAAATTGAGATATGATTAAAAATACGATTTGAACATCTTTTAACCGGCCAGAACAAGACACTAAAAACATTAGATGATCAAATCTATTTTTCCAAGACTCCTGGATTAAAAATTAGTGGTTTTAACATAGTCCTGGCACTCTAGATTGAAATTTAAAATACGATTTTTTATTAAACAAGAATGTCTAAAGTTGACATATGATATTCAGACTGTTATTCTCTATCAAATAAATTAAAAAAAATACCAAGAGTGCCATTTAAAAATCAAAAGTTGTACTCATTTCCGGTGAAACAGGACGTGACCGAAAACAATTGAATACGTCAATCAATCCTAATTTATGTCATATACTAACATACCAAATCTCGTTATTTTATCTAAAAAAATAAAAAAAGTTATAGGGATGAGCCACTTTTGAGACGCACCCGGTATATAAAACTTTAAAATACATGAAAATTTTAAGGGGCTCGTTTTTCGTACCGGTGTTTGTAGATTACAGCAGTTTTTTACTAAACAATTTTGCCAATGCACCACCTGGTATACACTAATGACTTCTCAATAAACCATAATATCTTTTTCATTTTTAGGTGGTGTTGCCTTAAGTGTTTCTGCTGGCCTTCTCTTAACACACTTATTAGGCACATTTCTTACCTGGCAAATCACTGCACTCATCACCAGCATTCTTCCACTGTTAAGCCTATTTTCGATGATATTTACCCCTGAATCACCCTCATGGTTGGCACAAAAAGGATTCACAACCAGAGCAACGGAATCATTCAAATGGCTTCGAGGAAATTCAGACGAAGCTACTAATGAACTAGAGGAAATGCTAGCTAAACATAAGGACACTGAAAATAGTATTGAAGAAACTGGATTAAAAGACATGCTTAAAAGAGAATTTTTGAAGCCTATGGGCATTTTGGTGATGTTTTTCATCACTTCGCAGTGGACTGGAGTAAACGCTGTTAATTTCTATTCTGTGGCTTTAATGAAACAAACTATCGAAGGGGTCAATGAGTACCTAGCTACTTTTGTAATTGACTGTATACGTTTGGTTTCTTCTGTAATCTCCTGTATATTACTCAGAAAAATTGGCAGACGACCTTTAATTCTTGCTGGAGGACTTGGTACCATCCTTTCTCTTTTTACTCTCTCTGGCTATATTTACTTTACAAGATCATTACACAATCAAACTTCTTTTTCTCCTCTAAGTATTATTCCTATGGTGTCGTTGATAGTGTATATCTTCTTTGTGACGGCTGGGTTTGTTTCGTTGCCATGGAACTTACTGGGCGAGCTTCTGCCATTGAAGTACCGCAGTACCGGAAGTGGAATTGCTTCTTGTATCGCTTATCTGTCAGTGTTTAGTGTGGTGAAAACAATGCCAGACATGTTCGCCATGTTTGGTTCCGATGGTACTTTTCTATTGTATGGTATTATGGGTCTAGTTGGAACGATTTTTATTTACTTTTGTTTGCCAGAAACCAAAGGCAAAACGTTAAATGAGATAGAGGAGTACTTTAAAGGTACTGTAAAATAATGAAGATGATGACATAGTTATATTTATTTTTATTGTGATTTTTTTTTGTATATACGATTAAAGAGTTATTAATTTTGTAGTGTGTAAAGAGTTATCAATTAATGTGTAGTTGTTTTTGTTGAGACTTTGGTTTGATTAGGTTGAGTTTGAGTTTGGTGTGATTTGGTTGACTTTTAACTTTTTCTTTGAAAATACTTTTACAAAAATATACAAAACTAAAAGTTATTATTTTGTAAACTTGTTGATCCAACGGAGACCAATTTTGTCAATGGTATTTTATTAATAAAATGAACTTGCCTAATAGATAAAAATGCTTAACGTTTTGGGAGCTAGATATCCTCTCGTCAAAAAAAAACTCAAAGAAAAAATAAGAAAAAAATTGTTTAAAATATTTAAATACAACTACTCAAGAACATTTGAGTACTAACAAATACATCTATTATAAACCGGTTAAACAGTTATTATGAGGTAAAACCAAAAAGCTTCAAACTTTCTGTATAAATGTGTTTATTTTTAGTTTGTTTAGAATTTTTATTTATTTTATGTTACGTTTATTTATATTTTGTTTATTGTTTTGCCACTTTTTTGGTTAGTTTAGAAAAATATAAATAGGATCTAGAGTTGCAAGAATCCACAGCTTAATTACAACCAGCTCGGCATCTTTACTTGCTTTTGAGTATCAGGATTTCACTTGCGCCTGCGGTGTGGATATCATTTTTTGTTATTACAATACAAGCTTCAATGGAGCTCAGAATCTGACATATTACTTACGATAAGGTGGCAAAATGATTGTAAATCGGCAGGCTTGTTATAAATAGACTGTGAAAGGAATTAAATCGAAATAAAACAGAAATTAGTTTGTAGGCTTTATTGGGACATACATTTTTCACTTTTATCATTAACTCTAATAATAATAGTATTTAGTAGCAAAAATATATAAAATAATTACTTTCTTGGCGTAAATTGGCAGTCTAGGTTATGTTTTGCTCTCATCGTTATAAATGATCGGAAATCCATTTCTTCTACTGATTTATATTTCGAAGACATCTTGTAGTTTCGTACAATGTTAGCAATAGCTACTTTTATGTTCATCAATGCGTATGTTTTTCCTATAAAAATATACGTTTGTACAATAGTCAGTCCATAAAAAGGAGATAATGACAGTGACCGTGTTCGTTACTTTATGATTTTTACTATTAGAAGAGAAAAGTACATACAAAGCTTCCAAGATTACAAATTAAAATTTGATTTTTGATAAATAATCATTCTATCTACTTTATATTTTTTTATAAAAACTTACCTATACAATTTCGAGATCCTGTGGAGAATGGCATGTAGCAATAAGATGGCCTTTTTGCAATCTCCTCTGGTAAAAATCTGTCTGGATCAAATTTCAAAGGGTCTGACCAGTACTGCTCGTTACGATGCAGACTAAATATGTTTACAACGGCATTTACACCTTTGGGAATTGTTTTTGAACCTAAACAAAATTGTCAAATAGTACTTACTAGCAAAATAAAATACATATTTAAGATGATAATTGATTAGGAGGATTTATTATATGATACGATACACCATTTTGAAAGTATTATATTCATTACAATCTAATAGCTTATATTGAATCAAAAATGTAATACCAAAAACTGAAATAATCAAATTTATTTACGACTTACCGCATTTAATATCCTTTGATATATATCTTCCTATTATTGGAACTACTGGAATTAATCTGAGAGTTTCTAAAATAACTCTCTCTGTATATTTGAGTTTATGCAAATCTGATGCTTCAATTGGTCGATCAAGTCCAATTTCTTCCAATATCTCTTCATAAAGTTTATTCTAAACAGAGTACGTAGTAATCAGTATGGTACTTAGTTTTACATACATATGTAATTATATACTTGTATAACTATTTTATATGTACATACACTATCGGACAAAAGTAGAGCAACACTTCGAGAAATATTTGCAAATCGCGATTTTTTAATTATACATACATGATAATGTATACAAATACAATAAATTTAAAAACTACGAAGTAGGCTATGAGTATCCATAACAGCAAGAATTTTTACTAACAAAACAAATGAATTTATTTTGACATTTAGTTTTAAATGCTTAATAGTAACGCGTCAAAAGTAGAGCAACATTCAAATAATTCATTCCAAAGAAGGGTTTTTAGCAAAAGTAAAGGCCAAAATAATTGTGCGAGGTTTATTTTATGTTTTTTAAACATTTCTACGTTGGATTAGTCATGCCAAGAGGAATTTCAAAAGACTTGAAGTAAAGAGTTGTGAATGCATTCATGGAAGGTAACAAACAAGCCGATATTTCAAGACAGTTTGTGTTACCTCGGTACAGTGTATCTAAAATAATTTCATCGTATAATGACAGGGGACACTTAGAAAAGTTGTCAAAATCGGGAAGGCCAAAGAAAACAACAGTAATGACCGACAGACGCATCAAAAGAATTGCTCAAAATGATCCTTGGAAGTCCGCGCCTAGAATTATTGCTGAAATTCCAGAAATTACGGTTGGTATACGAACAGTACAAAGAAGATTAGTAGATGCAAAGTTATTTAGTAGACGTCCAGCTAAAAAGCCGTTAGTTTCGGAAAGAAATAGAGCAGCAAGGTTGGCATTCGCACGTCAGCATTTAAACTGGACCGTCAGTGACTGGAAAAAAGTTCTGTTCAGTGATGAAACGCGCTACAAAATATTCAATTCTGATGGAATGAGACGTGTGAGGCGACCAATCAATACAAGGTTTAATCCTAAATACGTAACACCTACAATTAAACACGGTAAAGGCAGTGTATTTTTATGGGGTTGTTTCTCATGGAATGGGATAGGCCCTATACACTTTATTAATGACAGGATGGACCGATTTGTGTATAGGGATATCATGTAGAATGTTATGCTTCCTTATGCAGAATGGGAAATGCCACTGCGTTTTATTTTCCAACAGAACAACGATCCAAAACACTCTTCACAAGTTGTTCAACAGTGGTTTAGGGAAAATGACGTTCGAGTTTTGCAATGGCCAGCACAATCCCCCGACCTTAACCCCATCTCTGGAAAGAAGTAGAACGTCGTATTCGTACCCAAATGTTTCCAAATAAACAATCCTTGACGGATAAAATTAATGAAGTTTGGACAAATCTTCCGGAAAATGTCATTCAGAAGTTGATTGCTTCAATGCCGCGCCGTTGTCAGCAAATTATTAATAATAATGGATATTCTATCAATTACTAATGTATTACTTTCAATTATTATTGTTCTTAAATGTGTTAAATATTTTTTGTTGAAATAAGACACAATAAAATCTGTTGAATACAATTTGTTGCCCTACTTTTGTCGCCCCCATTCTCATCAATTTTTATAATCATTATTATTTACCATTTTTAAACTGATTAAAAGTACACCAAAATAGTACTCGTACTATACTACTAGTTCTAAAATAGTACTATAGTAATAGTGTAAGGATAGTGTGTTAGTAAACATAGCCGAAAATCACAACCTAATTTTTTTTTTTATTCAAACATGAATAAAAATGAACTTTTTTGCTCTACTTTTGTCCGATAGTGTATATCTCAGACTTACGACCGAGAAAAATCAAAGATTTTTCTAAATTTAAGTAAGAACAATCAACAATCTTCGGATTGTAACGGGGTTTTTGTTTTTAACAGGACACTGTCTCCTTAAAGATTCACTTCAGTAGATTGCAGCTAAGAAACAGTGCAGAATGCAGATTCTGTCATATATATGCAGAATCTCCAGCCTCCACTTCAAGGATATCTCAGCCCGAGACAAGCTCCTAGACTGTGAAGTGCACGGAGGGCTAACCCCACTCCTCAGCGGATGAATAGCTTTTGCCCAGAGGCGGATGGGAAATACCCTGTCTCCATACATCAAGAAGATTCCCATGTATGATGAGATATAGACTGCATGATGAGTTATAACTCAAGAAAGGGGGATACAGTAGATCTTTAAGGTCGAGGTGATTAACCCCCCTCCCGTTAATCCATACATTCTAGTTCAGTTGTTGCCATTATAAAAAAAGATTCTAAATGTGGATGTTTTGGCAATTTGGCTTGGAAATTACGGTCGATAATATTCACTATACAGTATGTCCCCGGATTGTCTGTACAGTGTGTCCCATTTTGGTTGAAATCATACGGTATGTCCGTTAATAGTGAAGATAGAAGGGTGCGGTTTGCACAAACCTGTCTCACTTTTTTGTCAAACGAAAGATGCCGTAAACAAAATTTTCATAGCCCTCTTCGTTTCTGAGCTACAGGGTCTTTTTGAAAATTTTGCAATTTGGGACACCCCCTGTATCTCTGTGATTGTTAAAGCTATCGAGAAGGTGAAAACTGTTTATTGTAGAACTTTTTACGTAGAATATAGTGGGGTAGTTTGTTAGTCTACGAAATGTATATTTTTAAAGATATGAATTAAAGTTATGTTTTCCTAAATGGAACACCCTGTATATTTATAAATTATATGATCTGACTTACCATAAGCTTCTCAAAAATATATATCACTCTATATTTATTTTCACTATTTACTGCAATATTTAAAAGTTTTTATTAAAATATCATATTTATTAGTAGGCCATGATTGAAAAATGATGAAACTAAGGAATTATTAAAAGTATACTGCTATATCTGTCTCTTGTTTTATTTTGGAAGCCACTAATAAATTCTTTATATATTAGGGAAACTTAACTCTCTACCGCTATTTGTAAATTTTGGAAGCTACCGCACAGGAAAGTTTAGATATTTCTTTAGCTAATTTACGGGAAATATACTTTCAGCAAGATGAGGTTCCAGCTCACAACTTTGAAAATATTAGAATTTTGCTAAATTATTATTTCTCAAATGAATCAATTAATCCCAACATATGGAACCAATGAACCCATATGATGGCCCCACTGATTCCCGGATTTGTTCGTTCTCGATTTCTGATTTTGTTTTTTTTTTAAATATGAAGTATATCTTGGCAACTACAACAATGTCGAACACCTGAAAAATGCTTTAATAATGCAAGCTTTTAGATATTTGCAAACGCATCCCGTTATAATAATTTTCGTTATAAGAAAAAGAAAAATATATTCACAGATTCAGTGGTAACAGTAACACAAAAGTGTAATATATTAATCCCAAATAAAATTTCAATATGTGTAGATTATTTTAGTAAATACCTACCATTTTATTTTTTTGGTTATTTATCACGGCCTACTAATAAGAAAATGATATATTTTAAATATTGCAGTAAATACTGAAAATAAATATAGAGTGATATACATTTTTGAGAAGCCCATAGTAAGACAGATCATATTATATATAAATATACAGGGTGTTCCATTTGAAAAAACCTAACTTTAGTTCATACTTTCAAAAATATTTTTTTCGTAGAAAACCAGTCTACGCCACTGTATTCTACGTAAAAAGTTCTACAATAAACAGTTTTCACCTTCTCGATACCTTTACAATAACAGAGGTACAGGGTGTCCCAAATTGCAAAATTTTCAAAAAGACCCTGTAGCTCAGAAACGAAGAAGGCTATGAAAATTTTGTTTGCAGCATCTTCCGTTTGACAAAAAAGTGGGACAGGTTTGTGCAAACCGCATCCTCCTATCTTTACTAATAACGGAGATACCGTATGATTTCAACCAAAATGGGACACCCTGTACAAGAGGAAAAATTTTTTAATTCTTTTTGACATCAAAACAAAAAAGTCCTAAAAATTAAAAGGCGTTTCTATAGTAATATCAATTCGATTTCTTTGATAGATGGTTATTATTAATTTTGATGAATGCCATATTCTTTACTGTTGTTAAAGTATCATATTTTTCGATAACTATCATCACCCTTTAGCATTGAACTAAATAAATGTTGTATTTCTTTAACATTTTAAAACAACAAAAAACTTTAGGTTAATTAAGATTCTTGAATAACAATCTATCGAAGAATGAAAACGAAGTTATATTACCATAGAAACGCCTTTTGATTTTTAGGGGACAAATTCAACCATATTTTCTTTCTTTAATTTTCTCTAAAACAGTATGGAAATTTGGAAAAGTATAAACTGGATTAACAATTTTAAAACAAGCAACATCTTTTATGAAGAATGCCTTTTCCTCAAAACGTCAAAAATAAAAAACGTTTTCTTCTTGTAAAGACAATCCGGGGACATACTGTATAATTTTACATAAAAAATGACAGCGGTATTTTAAGATAAATTTTTATCAAAATCTGATGATGTTTCAAGTTAAGGATATTTAGTTAACGGCAAAAAAACATAATAAATGATTTTATAACAATCTATCTTAGCAATCTAATAATAATAATTTATTAGCAAAAAAATCAATTTATGTAGTACCTGAACATTAGTGTGCATGCCCAAAAGTGTTGACAGAAAGGCCAAAGTGTTGCCACTGGTATCTGCAGCCTAAAACAATATATTTTTAAAGAAAAACATAACACAATATCAAAATGGAGCTTACAGCAAAAGTAAATGTCACCATTTCGTCATTAATTATCCTATTAGAAAATGTTTTTTCATCATTTGTCATTGTATCGAGCAAGTTTGAGTCTGCATCAGGATTCTTTTTAATTTCCATTCCTCTGTCATCAATAATCTAAATCAAACATTGACAATGCTGTCTTTTTAATTATTTTATAATATATTTAAAATACCTGTTGAGTAATAGTCCTGTATAATATTACGCATTTAAGTAGTTGATAGACTTGTGTAGTTTTTGTTAGTACAAACAAAATTACAAAGAAAAATCCGGAACCTACTCTTAGAATATTATCTCCAAGTATTTTCTGAGACCTAAAATCAAATTTTTAATGTATCATCTATATAAAATTAGGACTAGTGTGTACTTACAAATTCAACCATTCTACTACTTTAGGGCCTTCTTCCGTTTGTATATTATAATCCTTGTTAGTTATAATTTCTATAATAAACGCATATTAAAGAAAAATTATTATCTACACTTTTTAGATTAGATGTACCATACGATTGAAAAAAAAACGGCGTCAACGACGGCTGTGGTATGGCAATCGATGATAAAAAATCGCCCTAATCAAGTCTTTGACGCCGTTTTTGTTCTTTAACGATCTGTAATATTTTTTAAGTAAGAATAAAAACTTACCGCAAAACGAGTTGAAAGTAAAACTGACAAATGTTTCAAACAGATCCTTGTTCTGCATATTTTTTAGTTTTTCCATCAATGTTACGCTGTTTTTGTAGAAAAATGGGACGTACGAATTAAGAGTGGGTTGGCTGAAGCTTTTTGAAAAGTGTTTCCTTCGTGGTTTCCATAGTTTTTCTAAAAAGCAGATGATTAGTTCAACATATAAATATTTTAATCAGAAACAGTATCCTATATTATATTGTTGTATTATTTTCTTTTAATAAAAAAAAACAATATAACATACGGACTTCCTTCAAAACACAAAATCCATTTAGATCCATTTTAACCCCAATAAAACCAATGAATACTGGACAACAAACAAAAATTGTAATATACAAAATACCATGTGAATGTGATAAATTTTCTTCTTCTTCTTCTTCTTCTTCCTTCTTCATACTAGGCGAATCGCCTGTTTGGTTTCGTCGTCTCTACCGGTTAGACTGACAAGTTGTCGCTCCATCGTTTTTGTGGACGTCCTAAGCTTCTGTGACCTAGCGGTGATTTGTCGCATGCAACTCTCAATATCCTTCTGTTGTCCATTCTGCTGATATGGTCGTTCCATTCTTCCTTTCTGCTGAGTACCCACTCATTTACATTTTCCACCTTGCACGCTCTTCTTATGCTTTCATTTCTCTCCCTGTCCAGAAGCGTCTTTCGAGCTACTCTGCGTAGTACTCTCATTTCGGTTGTTTCTAGTAGTTGTTTAGTTTTCGCTGTATCAGGTCGAGTTTCTGCAGTGTATGTCATTATTGGTCGTACCGTTGCCTTGTAAATTCTCGCTTTAGTCTTCACCTCAATGGTGGCTTTTATTTCGCCATATTGTATCATTCAGGCATCCTGCTATTCTGGTTGCCTTCGTTGTCCGTTCTCGCACCTCCGCTTCTACATCACCATATCCTGAGATTTCTATGCCTAGATACTTAAACTTCATCTCTTGCTGAATAACATTGCCCTCGACTTCCAGTTTGCATCTTAGTGGTACTTTTGATGTCGTCATGCATTTAGTTTTCTGGGTCGATATTATCATATTAAGTGATTTGGCAGTGCAATTAAATCGATGTAATAAGCGCTGTAGATCGTTCTCATTTTCAGCTACCAATACGGCGTCGTCGGCATAGCATAGAATAGTAATTTCCTGGTCGCCCATACTGTATCCTTTCAGTAAACGTACATTTCCTATTATTTCGTCCATAATGATGTTGAAAAGAATGTGATAAATTTTATATTGGTAAAATATCTAGATCCTTAAATGTTCGAATTAATATAATAGCTCCCGTATAGCGTTTAACGCCTTGTGAGTAGCAAGGTATGTACAGTTGCCATACTAGAGCCGTTCGGTATACAAGAAAGGTAATGTTGCTAGCATTACGCTTCAACCGCCTATTATTACCTCAGGACCTAGGTACCCAAACTATTTTTATTTTATTAATTGAATTGGTAGACAAGAGCTGTACCTCTACGCCACCGGGTACCGGCAAAATATTCGAATTAAAGAACATAAAGGGTTATTTAAGAAAGGGCGATTTTCGCAAATCTAAGATTTGCCATCATTCATGGGACACAGAGCACAGAATAGATTTTAACAACGCAAAATTATTATGAAAGAAGCGATATCCTCTAAACGAAAAATACAAGAGGCTTTTTTAATACAGTCTAATATAAATAAATGTTATCGGGCAACTGTAGAGTTTAGTAATGTATGGCTATAGCTTTCTTGATTTTAATGAACATAGAATAAGCATAAGATAAAATTAAAAAATAATAATTTGTTAATTTTGAAGTTTAATTTGACATAATGTCATTTTAACAGAACGTCAACGGTTTTTATAGTGGTTGAAAAACACCAAAGTATTCTTGAATAATTGTATTTAGATATTTTAAATAGTTTTTTTCTTCGTGCTTTGTGTTTTTGCTTCCGACGACGGAAAGAGATATCCTTCTCGAATCATTAAACATTTTTTTTGTCCATTGGCTAATTTGTTATTAGCAAAGAAAAAAAAAGTTGGTCTCCGCTGGATTAATGCAGCAGTGTTTACAAACTGTATTATTGTGTGAAAAATTCATCGAAACAGAATCTAGTTCATAATACCTGATAAGCAAAGAAAGGAGAACTGTCATAAATCATATTAGTCTTCTAGCAAGCTAACAAGGCATTGCAAGCCCAATAGGAATATAAAGCTAATGCGATTGGCAGATAAAGTCATATGCAAATTCTGTCAATAAGAAGAATAAAGGCGGGTTCTCACTAGTCGATTTTATTGATCAATATCATTGAATCTATACCACTGAACATAGAAATAAATGGAAAATTCGTTCACATGATTCAAGAATATTGAACATTCAATCTAGTTTTAAAAATGGTTGCCAAGAAGAAAGTTGTGCCTGCTGGCGTTCGTATGATGTGTGAACATTTAATTTTACTTTTGATTTTGTTTTTAACATCGGTTAAAGAGGGTTAAAGTTAAAAATTCTATGTCCATTCCAACACGAATATTTTCATAATTTTTTTCCCGTAGCGTTATATTTTAATAATTTTCACATTTGAAGTTCCATAAACATTCCTCTGCCTGATATAACTCCAGAAATTTTGCAACATGGAAATCCCTCCATTTAAACGACATTTTGATTTACTTATTTCAACAGAAACACACACCGAAAAACACTTTGATGCGACTGAACGCTTGTTCCAGCTTGTTCCCAGGGGCAAGCACTATTCAATTTCATTGAATCAATACGATTGGTTCACCAAAAGTAGAAATGGCTTCCAGTTTTCTAGAAATGCGAAAACATTGAACAATATGGTTGAAATAATGTTCACATTAATCTGTTTTATTTCAATGACATAGATTGAATGATATTGATCAATAAAATCGACTAATGAAAACCCGCCTTAAACGACAGGAAGCATTCCATTCCAATACGGTAGACTGGAAAATGTGCAGTTATTTGTGCTAGGCGATGATAAGTTATTGAAAAGGCTAAATGAAAATTTAGTTTCTAAGTTAAATAAATTAGAATCTCTCTAGCTCTTTAAAGGTCGCAATGGAATAGGCCAAAATCAACGTCATAGAATCTACCCATTTATCTGTCCTATACAGTAAATGAGTGATAACAAGCAGCGAAAGCATTGGAGAAATTTGATAGAGGTCTATGTGCAGTAGCGGGACGAATTGTATGATGATGATGATGATTAAATACCTATATAACGAATGCAAAGAATTACCTGGCAGCAATAAAACAGTATTCCAAGCTCCTATTTTGAAGGTTTTGTAGAAATCAGCTTTCTCTACCGTATCTGGATGCGTTAAAATTGTTTTTATTTCTTCACCATCGGTTGTTACGTAATAATAATTATGTCCTAACCAACAACCATATGGAAAACCTTTCTTCGTTCCTTCCTTTACGGATATATCAAACATAGCTTAAACAAGTGTAGAGTTTAGTTTTAGAGAAAATAAAAAAAAAACATTCAACCATACTTTCATTTTTTTTTAATTTTCTCTAAAACGATATGAAAGTTTGGAAAAGTATAAACGAGATTAACCATTTTAGAACAAGCAAAAATGTTTATGCAGCATGCATTTTTCTCAAACTGTCAGTAATGAAAAAGGTTTTTTTTCTCTTGTACAGACAATCAGAGGACATACTGTATAAAGAACACACGCTGATTTAATGTAGAAACTTTTAATATAATTCTTTATCATACGTTTTCGGTAATTCTCTTTTCACGTGAAAGAAATTGTAATAATATTAATACTCACTCATATCTTTAAGTTGAAAATAGTGTCCAAAAATTGGATAGAATGTGTAGTGGATGTACTTATTTCCGAACTTAAATATATTTCTTTTGGTGTACAGTGACCATAATGTCAATAGTGTTACAGCCAGTAGTACTACTGATATTGTTTCCTCCCACATTATATTTCAATCTAAAACTAAGTATATAATTAATTTTTAAATATATACCTGCAACAGAGACATTTTTGGTCAAATTTAAAGTGTTATATTTTTGTTATTTTTAGTCCTATTTGCATGATTTTTTAGCAAACTGTACAGGGTGGTACTTTTAAATGGAAACATCCTTTTCCATAGCAGATAGACGAAATCTAATATCGGTGTCTGTAGCTCAATTTTCATCAAAAACATGATGGTGAAAACCGCACATCAATATCTGTTACCGTTTAGGAGTTACGGGGTGTTTTTTAAAAATGTGCATTTTTAACAAATCGCTGTAACTTTTTTGCTATGAAAAATTTTGTATTTCTATGAAAACATTTCCAAAGCACCTTTTTACGTAAAATTTAATGGTATAAGTATAATTTTTTTAAAATTAATAATTTAAGAGTTATCAACAGAAAAATTGATTTTTTATTTGGGACACCCTCAATATTTCTAATTAACCGAAAAGAATTTAAAATTACCTTTCCAAAAATATAGCATACTTGATATTTTGTTATATTGTCCTTCGATATACAGAATTTTTAAAAGTTCGCCACTTTTAACTAGTAGGCTTTGGACCCCTTATTGATGATATGCCCTTAATGGGACTCGAAAACATATTTTTCCAGCAAGAAGAGGCACCGCCTCAGAACGCTGAATTTATCAGTAAATTTTTGCAGCCAATTTCAAGAATAATTGCATAGCTAACCAAAATTCCAGCCGTTGGCCGTCGAGGTCACTTGACTTAGTGCCCATGGATCTAATCCTCTGGATATATTTGCGGAAGAATAAAAGTTCCTTATTCTTCCATATAATCTAGACAAATTAGAAATACTTAGCAGTTATGAGAGGGTATTTTTCACCACCACTGAGTTAATGAATTCCGCGAGAAATGTTCAGAAACCGCCCCGTTTGTCCATAACAGAAGATGGTCGATATAACAGAAGACGGTCGAACACCTGCAGCAAAATCTCATGTCTTGGTTTGCTATTTATTTTTATTGTTATCAGATATAGTGTAAATGTGTTGATGTTGGTTAAATATATTTTAAATTGTTATAAAATTCTGCATCTCTCATAACAAATATTATTTTCGTTTTAATTGATGCTCACAGCTAGATTTTTTTTGCATTACAGTCGGTGCCATTCAAAGCCTACTTATTCAAAGCGTGCCAATTTTTGTATACTCTATATCTCGAAGAGGAATCGAGCAAAATATCAAGTGTGTTATATTTTTAGAAAGGTAATTTTAAATTCTTTTCAATAAATTAAAGATATACAGGGTGTCTCATATAAAAAATCAAATTTTCTGTTGATAATTCTTAAATTATTAATTTTAAAAAAAATTACACTTAAACGATTAAATTCTACGTAAAAAGGTGCTTTGGAAATGTTTTCGTAAAAATACAAAATTTTCCATAGCAAAAAAGTTATAGCGATTTGTTAAAAATGCACATTTTTGAAAAACACCCCGTAACTCCGAAACGGTAACAGATATCGATATGCGGTTTTCACCATCATATTTTTGACAAAAATTGAGCCCCAGACACCGATATTAGTTTTGTCTATCTCCTATAGAAAAGGGTGTTTCCATTTAAAAGCGTCGAATTTGACCCACCCTGTACATAATTATATCAAGTTTAATTCGTAAACTCAGTTTTTTGTAAACTTTAGTAATTGGCATATTATACGGGGTTAATCGATAGGTTGTTTTTTTATCCTAAATTTAAAACGCCCTGTGCAATAATTTCGTGTTTAAATTTTCCTAAAATATAATTTTGCGGTAAGAACCATGTCTCCTGAGCGTGAAGACTAACGATATAGTCCTGGTTTAAATAAACATTAATAACCATAACAGAACTAACAATATTAAGGAAAACATATGTAATACTGAAGTATACACACAGAAAAAAAATGTAAAAAATACCCTAATACTTTGTATTGCCTCTCCTGGCTGCTATAACTGCCTGTATACGTTTGTTCATACTGTCATTGACGCTGCATATATCATATTGCGTTATGTTTTCCCATTCTTCTTTAAGGGACCAAGCGAAGTTCATTTAACGCTTCTCGACCTCTAACCCTCCTACCAAGCATTTCCCAAACGTCGAACATGATGGGCAGTTCATAGTAGTATATAGTTCACAATAATCACCAAAGCTGCCTTGTCATATTGAAAAAAAACTTCAAAAGTAAATTAAATTTGAAAAAATTGCAAATTGTTGATGGCAAGTTTATTTCGCTCCTAAAAATTAACCAAGGCATGTATTGACATGATCCCAAAAACAAAATGCTCAGGAGACATGGTCCTAACCCTAAAATTATATTTCAGGAAAATTTACACACGAAATTATTGCACAGGGTGTGTCAAAGTTAGGTTAAAAAACAACCCCTCGATTAACCCTGTACAATATGCCAAATATTAAAGTTTATAAAAAACTGAGTTTACAAATTAAAGTTGATATTATTATATACAGCTTGTTAAAAAATTCATGAAAATAGGGCTAAAAATAACAAAAATATAACACTTGAAATTCGACCAAAAATTTCTCTGTTGCGTTTTTTTGCATCTGAGTGTATATTAACTCACTAGTTTTTTTAAGCACCTAGTATCAATGAATATGATTTCTTATAAGATTTAGATAAATTTTAAAAATTCAATTTGATGAATACTTACGTTCAAACAATCGCAGACAACAAATTGAAAAATAATAATGCACCGCTTCATCTGCCTGAGTATATAAACATAATTTTTTTTTAAATAATTGCCCTTCAACATTATTAGTAATTAGATTACTTTTCGGAGAAATATGCAATATTAATGAGGTGAAATATAGTAATTTTTTATAATGTTCAAATTTTACAGGAACTTATTAGCTACCGTTGGCAACCTCCAGTCCAGGTAGTTTTAGTTTTTATTGAATTATTTTGCATACATCTAACTTCCCAGTTACATCAAATCCAATGCGCTTATGTGTGTAAAAATACGGTAGCAGAACATAAAAAGTGACACTGAGAAAATTGCATCTGCGAATTTTAAAACCAGTAGATTTTAAACAATGTCAATATTTTCGAGGCACATTCAATTCTTGGGTATTTTGCCATTGAAACAGAAATCTAAAAAATAATAATGTACAGGGTGGGTCAAATTCGACGCTTTTAAAGGGAAACACCCTTTTCTATAGGAGACAGACGAAAACTAATATCGGTGTTTGGAGCTCAATTTTTATCAAAAACATGATGGTGAAAAGTGAAAACCGCACATCGATATCTGTTACCGTTTCGGAGTTACTGGGTATTTTTCAAAAATGTGCATTTTTAACAAATCGCTGTAACTTTTTTGCTATGGAAAATTTTGTATTTTTATGAAAACATTTCCAAAGCACCTTTTTACATAGAATTTAATGGTTTAAATATAATTTTTTTAAAATTAATAATTTAAGAGTTATCAACAGAAAAATTGATTTTTTATTTGGGGCCTGTATACCGGGTGCTACAAATTCGAGGTACGAGCATTGGTATCTCGGAAACCGTAAGAGATACGAAGATGGTTAAATTGGGGCAAAGTTGCGCTTTAGGATGTTCACCAAGATGCCATCAAAAAAGTTTTAAAAATTTCAAGGATTGCTGAGTTTTTTGGAAAAAACGGATCTTTTTGAAAATCAATTTTATTTTTCCCTGGCGTCACTTTTTAGAAAATCAAAAAACTAATTGCACATTCTCATTGCTACTTTATTAGGGCTATCTGATAGTATTTTTAGATTTTCAAATTAGCTGATAATTTGTGAGATACAGAGGCCAACTTAATTTTTTTAAATACGGACCTGCATTTTTTATTTGAAGTTTTGAAAGAACTCGATCTCCTGAGTACAATGATATGCCACACTTGATACTTTTTTTTGTTTTAGGTACCTTAACAATAACAAAACTATTTAATTATTATTTAAAATAATTTCAAGTCCCACTCTGGTTTTTTAAATTATTTAATCTGATTATATTCATCGCAACAATATGGATCAGCGCTAATTAACATTGAATCGAGCCAATTGATTCAAACAAATAATACCCAGGTCAGCAATTTAAAAATATTGTTTATAACTTTTTTTATTGTGATTTTTAAATCTCAGTGTACGATCTAATAATATGCATAATATTAATCGTAGTTATTATAAATAAATCAACTTCTACAAACTAGTTTCTAAAACTAGTAATGCTCTACATGTTCGAAAGGGTTACCACCGTCCCTAATGCACAAATTAATGTATTTTTCGTTCAATCTTATTTATAGCTCTTTGAACATGTCTTCTTCTTATACTTCCGAATGCATTCTGTACTCTTTATTGTAAATGTTGAAATGTATTGTCACTTTTAAAAATGACGTCAAGTAATGCCCAATAATTTTATATTATTTTTATTATTTAGTTGCATTTGATTATCCGTATTCAATGTTTTACTCCACGTCATTATTAAGTTTGAAAGCTTACGAATATTGTAACGATGAATAGATTAAATATTTAAAAAAAAAACAGAGCCGGACTTGAAATTAGTTTAATTAAGTAGTGTTCAAATGTCCGAAACAAAAAAAAATATTAAGTGTGGCATATCATTGTACTCAGGAGAGCGAGTTCATTTAAAATCTGAAATAAAAAATGCAATTATCAGCTAATTTTAAAATCTAAAAATACAGAATCAGATAGCCCTAATAAAGTAGCCATGAGAATGTGCAATTAGTTTTTTGATTTTCTAAAAAGTAACGCCAGGAAAAAATAAAATTTATTTTCAAAAAATCCGTTTTTTTCAAAAAACTCAGCAATCCTTGAAATTTTTAAAACTTTTTTGATGGTATCTTGGTGAGCATCCTAAAGCGCAACTTTGCCCCGATCTTCGTATCTCTTACGGTTTTCGAGATACCAATGCTCGTACCTCGAATTTGTAGCACCCTGTATATTTAATTAAATGAAAAGAACTTAAAATTACCTTTCCAAAAACTTGATATTTTGTTATACTCCTCTTAGAAATACAGAATTTTTTAAAGTTCTCCAATTTTAACTAGTAGGCTTTGGACAATTTATTGATGACCTGTCTAATGGAACTCGAAAACAAAATTTTCCAGCAAGACGAGGCATCGTCTCAGAACGCTGAACTTATCAGCAAATTTTTGCAGCCAATTTCGAGAATAATTGAATAGCTAACCGAGATCCCAGCCGTTGGCCATCGAGGTCGCCAAGCTTGGTGCCTATAGATTTTTACCTTTGCGGAAGAATAAAGGTTTTATTTTAAAATTGCCCGTATAATCTAGACAAGATTAGAAGTACTTAGCGGTTATGTGAGTGTAACTTTCATCCCCCACTGAGTCAATGAATTCCGCGAGAAATGTTCCAAAACGGTCCCGTCTGTTCTTTCGGTACCGGAATTTCCCGGTTCTAAAACCTAGTGCCCTGCGGGGTTAGATATTTTGCCTACGTTTTTCATATTTTTCATTAATTACGTTATATTAAATATGCCTATCAACATGTCATCATTGTGTCTATGATTTGGGGTTTGTATTTCGTTTAATGTTTTGTCAATAAAATATGGTGGATAGTCGATTAAAAAAAAATAAAAAAAATATAAAAAAAAAATAAAAACCCCAAATCATAGACACAAAGATAACAATACACAATATATACAACTTACAATTCCATACATCCGAGGCGTTTCGGAAAAGATAAGAAGGATAGGAAAACAATATAACATACGAACTTTCAAAACATTACTTTCAAAACACAAAATACACTTAGATCCATTTTATCACATACTAAACCAATAAATACAGAACAACAAACAAAAAATGTAATATACCAAATACCCTGTGAATGCGATAAATTTTACATTGGTGAAACATCTAGACCCTTAAGTGTTAGAATTGACAAAAAAATAATGATTATTTAAGAAAGGGAGAATAAAACAACATAATGATTATTTAAGAAAGGGAGATTTTCACAAATCTAATATTTGTCAGCATTCATGGGACACAGGGCACAGAATAAATTTTAATAACGCCAAAATTAATGAAAGAAGCTCTAGAAGATAGCCTCTAAAAGAAAAATAAAAGAGGCTTTTTAATTCAATCTAATAAAAATAAATGTATTGCTCATGCATCTGTAGATGTTAGTAATGTATAGCAATCGCTTCTTTGATTTTAAAGAACATAACATAAATAAACATAACATACGTAAAATTTAAAAATAATCACACAGAAAGTGTGGGCTTTTTGGTTTTACCTTAATAAAGTAATTGTTATCAGGTAGTAATTGTTAATTTTGAAGTTTAACTTAATATAATGTCATTTTAACAGAACGTCAACGATTTCTTGTAAACGTATCTGTTTTAAAAAGTAAAGTGTTCTCGAATAGTTCAATTTAAATATTTTAAATAGTTTTTTTCTTGATTCTTTATATTTTTTTTGCTTCCGACGACGGAAAGAGAAAGCTTTCCGAAACGTTAAGCATTTTTTTCTTTGTTAGGCAAATTTTTATAACTGTAAACACAACTTCTGACAAGCATCGTCCGTTTAGGTTTAACGCAGAAGTGTTTACCAAAAATAACTATTTTACTTTGTAGATTTTTCTTGCAGTGCAGTGGCGAAAAACCCATAAAGGATTTTTTTGGATAGATGAACCCGCCACATAGGTATAGACATTTTTTATCAACAAAAAAGTCGTTTACCGCATATAGGGCTCACTCCAGTAAGTATCATTTCAGAGCTTTGCGAAAGTGACTTGATATTCAAAGGCAGATGATTGTACATTTTTTTGGCATTGTACAGTATTGAGCCTTTAACTAGTTCTGAGTTCGGGTTTGGCAGATAAAAATCGTGCTCCGCATTCCTAAGTGAATAGTTGTGAGATGGCCTTTCCGGAATAGCAGATATTATGTCCTTGCGGATTAAGCAAACGGATTCAAAAATGAATAAGGAAGGAAGAGTCAGTATTTTAAAATGTTTAAAGAAATTCTGGCACTGAGTTCTACTGTTCAGTCCCAATAAATATCGAACTGCTCTCTTTTGAAGTTTGAAAATACGATCAAATTTTGTCGCGCAGCAAGTACCCCAAAATGGAAGGGCATAACGAATATGCGACTCAAAAAGGGCATAATAGACCATACTAGAGGTTGATAAATTAAGTTCCTTAGAAACTGATCTTAGCGCAAAACAGAACAATCGATTGTAATTTTACTTTTCTATTCTATTTTTTAATGGTGCTTAATGCCAGTTGGCCACAAGAAGGTAATTTATTGTTAAATTTTTAAATTGTGTAGTTTAAAATTCGAGAAAAAATGATGATCCGTCATTTTCAGCGTTACATTGTTGCCATTTCATACTAAAAGTGGTAGCAACTTTGTTATTTTAAATGGAACACCTGGTATATTATTACATTTTTGAATCTACTTTCATATCTCATAAAGTTTCTATTATACTAACCTATACGTATCTCTAATAGTTTTCGAGATAAAAAATAAAACATGTGTAAAATTCACAAAAACATGATCTTGAATAATAAGCCTTAGTTAAATCATTAATTATTAATTTAACATATTGAAAGCTGAAATTTAGTTTAGAGGTTAAGATGGGTTAAGGAAAGTCGACATATTCGAGCTGTCTATTCAACAGATTGGATATCAAACAGGGAGATCAAAAGATAAAGATCAAAAGAGAATAAAAAATAGAGGAATCTTCTTCTTCAATTACGGTCTCCTAACGGAGGTTGGCTACCATCACTATCATCATGGTTTTGATTTTATTTGCGGCTGCTTCTAAATAATCCATTCGACGTCATTCCATACAATTCTCTGAGGTTCTTCAGCCAGGATGTTTGTCTTCTGCCCCGACTACGTCCTCTTTGGATTTTTCCTTCCATATAACTTCCATCCTTTCTTATAACTTGTGCAAAATATTCAAACTTTTTCCTTTTAAGGGTTTTATATATTTCTTCTTCCTTGTTCACACGGCGTAACACCTCGATATTTGTAACTCTATCGAAGGAAAACATTAAAAATCCTATTTTTGCAAAAATTTGACTAAAACGATAAAATTCTCCAACAACATAATTTAATTAAGGTAACTTGACTAATTAAAAGTGAGTGAAAGTGATAACATTTAATTTACAATCTAAAAATAAAAATATTTATTTACCCAATTATGTTAAACTTGTCTTGTTTTCAACCACAGTTTGGCCATGAATGGAACTAATAATTATTTTAAGAAAATAATTATTATTAGAAAAAAAAATAATGGCTATTTTCTCTTTATTAAAAAAATATCTATAAATATTTAATATCATGTATGCCTTTGAAAATTCTAGGTAAAAGAGATTGCAAATTACCATACATAATTATTAGAAAAAATACAATATCATCGTACATGTTATATTTTTTTGGTTTATGTTTGATAAAAGTTAAAAATGTATTATTATAGTCGTATACTGGGTGTTTCCCAATAGTGGCTCACCCTTATAATTTTTTTATTTTTGCAGATAAAAAATGAGATAAATTAGCATATTCGTGTAATTATTGTTTTTGGTTACTTCCTATAATTTTTGATTTTTAAATGCCTGGCTCGGTATTGTTTTACTTTATTCAATAGAAAATGACACTCTGAATATAATGACATATATCATGTGTTAACTTTTGACATTTATCTTTAATTCTTATTATAGAAGTTTTAAAAAAAAATTACAGACACAAATTTATTTCCAAAACTAATAATTATATCTAATGATAAGTCAATATAAATATTTTTTGAATTTTAAACTGCGCAATTTAACATTTATTTTTAACCTTCTTAAGGCCAATTGGTAGTAAGAAGAATACGGGACAAATGACGTCTAGAGCTTGACCTCGCCAAAATTATCATTAATTGTCATTCCCCATCTGACGTTGACGTTGACTGCAATAATTGACCTAGTAATATGACACTGTACTATAGCAATCTCAATTTAATATGATATATACTCTGTTTTTTTTTCTCAGGTAAGATTTCGACAGACGATGACAGAAGAAAAGCAGATGACGTCCCATACCAATCTATTTATTTTACTAAAAAAAAGTTTCTAATAATTTTTAAGTTAACTATGGATGGGTTTAAATATAAATCCGTCATACGTCGTCTCTTGTTGTTTTTAACCAGTTTTATTGGTTTATTTCAAAAATGACAGATCGTATTTCAATTTTATTGGTTTGCCGGAACGATGAACGACAAACGGACGCCGATGCGTATGAACTCGCCTTTAGATTTTTGACGCTTGTCAAAGTCTTGCTAAATTAGAGGTTATAATTTTGTGTCAACTTTTGTCAGTTTTGTCAAATACTTTGCAAAAGTACTGCTGTAAGTACTGCGTTTTGGAAGGTGATGCATTTTGATTCGTGTTATTACGTGTGTTTTGTGTGTTTTGAAGTCAATTGGAGAAAAAATCGAGTGAAAATTAACTGTAAACCTAGAGCACAGTTTATGGTTAATACTCGCTGCCCAGGCAAAAAGTCTTATACACCAATAAAATTACCATATTTAAAGTTCGTATACCATCTCGTCGTAGATAAGTGAGAAGTGTTTAGCCCTAGCAGTCAACTTTTAAGCTTGACCAATCAGGTTGGTTAGCGTGGTTATTTGAAGTGTGTTAATGCATTTGTATTTGTCAAAAACTCTAACGTGATTGGTCGGGCTTAATAGTTGCCTGCTAGGGCTAGACACAAGTAGATAAGTGCATCTAGAATATGGTAGAAGGACCATACTAAACACATACTAAAAACTGGAGTAGCTGCAAAATATCGACATCACACGATAGGTAAATAATGGATTTTAGTACTGCACAAGAAAAATAATGCCAAAGGTACTGGTTTAAAAAAATTAAGATTAAAGTTAATTAATCAACCTTTAAGGTACCTATAAAATTTGGCAAGTGTTATTAATAATAAAATAGTTTGTTTTATTTATGTTGTTTTATTTATTCCTGCGGAATATTACAAATTTGCATTTGTACGTAAGTTATATTGATAAATATAATCATAAATGCGGGAAGTTTCATAAAGCTTGAACGAAAATAAGTAAGAAATAGTTCTTTTTTATATTTTTTTGGTATGTGGTGTCTTGTTCTTGTTTGTTTTGTATTAACATATACCGTTTTTTATTAAATTAAATAACTCGATTCTATTTTTTCAGTTTCATACAGTTTTTTTCACAATATTTTGAAGTAATCACTTGTCAGTCAAATTTTAAATATAATAATTTCCTGCTATGCGTTCCAGTTGTACCAACTTATTTCTTTGTAAAATAAAATAAACTACTTTGAAATTAAAATGACAGACACATCTATCACTGTCAAGGATCTTCTCGTTGGACAGACTATAGATAGAATTATTTAATTCACTCTGTGTAAAGAAATAACTTTTAGGGAAACGCCATCCATATGAAAAAAATACCTAAAGGAGGGTCCACATTTAGTAACATGTTATATAACATTGCTATTTAACAAGCTACATGTAACATGTTAAAAAACCGGGAGCCGTCCACATTATAGTTTTCGTAGTCATGAATCGTTTTGGCGAGAAAGAGGTTCAGCTCGCAGCAGCGGCGTGCGTAATTATTTTTGAACTAAGGGAAAGAAAGTCGAGAAAAAAAGCGGTTTTGAGTCCGCCATAGCCTACCAGTAAAATCTAGATACAGTTGAACACAATTAGCTTATCTTTTCAATACTTGCCTCGGCTGTTTCTCGTGGTGTCGTCTGTCTTTTAAAAACATTAATAATTTACAGTACGTCTTGTCTCCTGGATCTGTGTCTATGAAAGGAATGCGGACAAAAACCATTTAAATAAACAGCAATATATTCTATACGTCGATTTGACGAGTGCGTCACCGCAAATCGCTCCGCCCACTCATTTTATTGGCTACTTGCAAATTTGTCGAATTTTTATTGATGGGACGCGTCGTCTATTTTTTACGAAAAACATCAAGAGAATATCGTTTCCCCTCTCACGGATACCCCGTAGCTACAGAACGGACAGACGTACTGTAAAAGCAAAAGCAAACCATTTTGAATTATCCACTTCATCTAAATCTAAACCATGCAGTTCCTGATTTGCATTTCTTTTGTTCCCGCTGGAACTGGCCTATTAGATTACGCATTTTTTCTCAACATTTTCTGTTTCCAAATACATACTATGAAATGAAAATCGCTGTCATTTTATATGGAAAATTATATGGGGAATGTCATCGATCGTCATGTCCAAGCCAACTGGACGGAGGCCGACGCCGACTGGACGCAGTTTTTTTTTTCGATCATACGGTATTATTGACCAGTAAATAAACAAATCAATATCAGCTCACCACACTAAGATTCTGTCGCGCACGTCCCTGAAAATATGAGCGGCTAAACTAGAAATTTAGCAAGTGTGGACGCGTTGTTTCATGTTACAATAGCAATGTTGCACAACATCTTTTGATCTTTACCGACTACAAATGGATAACATCTAGCAAGTTATATAGCATCGAAATTTGCTAAATATAACTAAAAAATATGTAACATGTTATATAACTTTGCTATATAGCAGTGTTATATAGCAAGTGTGGACCGTCCTTAAGAGTAAGAACACCTATAGCTTTTTAAAATTCACACCTATAGGTTATTTCCAAAATATTTTTGCATTTATTCATTTACATCCTGTAGGTATACTATATCGTTTAATTTATTATTTTATTTACTATGTGTTTTAATTTATATATTTAAATAGATAATAATTAAAGACATTCTGATATTTCTCAGAATAGTTTAATGAAACTTAAAGATTTATTTATTTTCAACACACATGCATTATAATTTATAGTAATTGTTATTTTATAGAAAACTGACTAAATTAACATATCAATCACTTCAATCAAATCAAATTATTTTAAGAAAAATACAAATTATTAAAAAAAAATACAAATTTCTATCATTATTTTTAAGTTGTCATCTGGGTGTAAATTGGCAGTCTAGGTTATGTTTAGTCCTCATGGTTAAAAACGACCTTAGATCCATTTCTTCTACCGATTTGTATTTGGAAGTAATCTTAAAGTTACGCACGACACTGGCAGCTACAACTTTCAAGCTCATTAGTCCGTAAGTTTTTCCTAAAAATTATACATTTTAAAGTTTATTAAGTTAGCACGTTGATAAGCTCTAATAAAGTACAATAATGTGTTTAAAATATTCTTTATTGGAAAAATATTAAAACATTTTATGGTGAAAGAAACTATACCAGTTTAGTAAGTTCTACAAATAAGAACATGAAAATCCTATAGAAATATTGATAAAACTACAGGAATGAAAATATACACTCACAATCAAAAAAAATCACATAAGAAGACTCAATATCTCCAAAGCAGTTTTAGTAATTTTGGAACACGCAACGACAAATTAGATTGGAACAGTTAAAGTCTCAAGATAGATGACTGATAGCTGACAGGCCAGTCATCTAAGACGTTTAAAAAGGCAAACATCGCAAACGGGACTGTATCTACCATTTTTTAATATATTGTTAGGACCCATGAGACTAAGTTATGCCCAATTTTGCAACCCTCAAAACCCTGTGCTACTCCCGTGATACTCAAAACACCTCAAAATTTTGGTACTTATTTCAGTTTTTTTGAAAAAACTATGTTAAGAAAGCATTTTTCAAATTTAATTGTTCTACACTTTTAAAGTCAACTAAATTTCCTACAATTTAAGCTCAACCCGAACCCTCTAGGCCAATTCGTTGTCGAAATACAGCCAATCAAATATCGGCTATTTTTTTGAAAAACTAAAAATTTATGAGTACGGTCACATTCCAAAGCACGTATCGCCTAAACTAATGGCTCTAGAGAAAAGTCATGAGGAATAAAGTTGTAGAGAATTTATTCAACTTTAATTTGGTGTAAGAATAGGGCCGCTAGGTGTCGTATTACACCGCTCGCTAAAAACATTATCCCAGGAAACAAGGCGTTCACAGTGGTCGATGGTGGTTACCTCCTGCACAAGGTGGTCTGGCATCGAAATCATTCAGTCAGAGATATTGTGGCTGGATACGTTTTAAACAACTTTGGTAAAAATATTGCAGCGGTTTTTGATGGATACCCAGAAGATGCGGCTATGAAAAACACTAAATCAGCTGAACGTCTGTGGCGATATGCTTCTCTTTCCTGTAGTGACATTTTGTTTTATGAAGCGACACTCATCAAAGTGCCCCAAGCAAAAGTGCTCTCAAATGAATCGACCAATGCTATCACATGATGTGTCCCGAATTTGATAGACAGGGTATCGAGGTATATCAATCACCAGAAGACGCTGATGCTGAGATAGTGAGAAATGCCCTCTCCAAGAGCTCATCGTACGACCAAGTTTTTATCATGGTGCGAATGTCTACAAAAAAATCCCTACTGGATAGACCTGGCCACCATTTTCTTTGATCCAAACTCGACGCAAGAAGAAGTAGGAAATGCTTGGGCTTAAATTGTAGGAAATTTAGTTGACTTTATAAAAGTGTAGAACAATTATATTTGAAAAATGCTTTCTTAACGTAGTTTTTTCAAAAAAACTGAAATAAGTACCAAAATTTTGGGTTTTTTTGAGTAACACGGGAGTAGCACAGGGTTTTGAGGGTTGCAAAATTGGGCATAACTTAGTCTCATGGGTCCTAACAATATATAAAAAATCGTAGATACAGTCCCGTTTGCGATGTGAGATGTCTTAAATGACTGGCCTATGAATTATCTAAACGTCGCTGCTGACATTGCCTGACTGCTAACAGCCTTGAAAAGAAAAGCTACAAACACAAAAAAATGACAATATTTTTTGTGAAGTATAGTCTAAGTTTAAGATGGAACAGTTTACATTAGGAAACCATCAGGAACAAAACAGCAAAATACCGATATATTAATTTAAAAAAATAACAAATATCTTACCAATACAATTTCGAGTTCCTGCAGAAAATGGAATGTAGCAATTTGGTGGTCTTTTTGCTACTTCTTCTGGTAGAAATCGGTCAGGGTTAAATTTTAAAGGGTCAATCCAGTATCGCTTATTACGATGAAGGGTAAAAATACTTATCACTATATTAATACCTTTTGGAAATGTCTTAGTACCTAAATTATAAAGAATATTTATAATAAAAGAAAAAGCAATAAATGTAAACTTGTTTGTGATTTAATGTATCTAGTATTACCGTTCTGTTTTCAAGTTTTGGGCAATAACCATAAATGTTATTTATTTTACAGCTGGTTTAGCTTTATCAATATCATTGGCATTTGTGTTCGAATTTTTCATTTTTAACTTTGAGATCTGTTGAACTAGTTATAGTTTTTCCGGTGTCAAAGGAATAAGATGGGGCTCGTAATTTTGTCACTGTTTTTATCGGCGTCATTGTCGCCGTGGTCTGGACAAACGAATCAAGAGTCCCAGTATTTCCAATTGTCTTCGGAAATACTATACACTATTGCATTTGTTATAGCGGATATAATAAGCTCTATATTTAAAGGTCTGCTCCGATTTATTGTCGTAATATTTTACCACGTTTTAAGGACACTTAACCGATAAACCGGTAATGCAATCCCTATATTGGACGATATCAAATTTGATATACGATTTATTAAACTTTAACCACCTTAAACTTATTATTTCTCTCACCACAATTTACGTCATTGGTGGTATATCTTCCTATTGCCGGAGCTATTGGAAACAGTCTCAGAGTTTCAAAAATAACTCTTTCGAGGTATTTCAATTTGGGTAGATCTTGAACTTCAATCGGACGATCCAGACCTACTTCCCATAAGATTTCCTCATATACTTTATCCTAAACATAAAATATAATCAAAAATATTTTTAACCAAGCGTGCTTTGTACATTGACAAAAAAATAATCTCGTGAATAATTATATTGCTTTTTTTCTGGCAATAGACAACTTTTGATCATACGGATTATTTTTTTTAATTATACATAACAAAAAGCACAGCCTATATGTCAGACAGACAGTCGACTTACAATCATTTACAATGATTTACATGGATCTCTTTTGTGTCTACCTAGGAATTTAATTCTAGGAAATTCAATACCTAGAAATTCGGTTCCATTGAATTTCGGGTTAATAAAAACAACTATCTGATGTGGCAGGACCAGGTGCGTCTCAAAAATGACTCACCCCTATAATTTTTTTATTTCCTCAGATAAAAAAAACGAGATTTGGTATGTTAGTATATGAGATAAATTAGGATTATTTGACGTATTCAATTATTGTTTTTGGACACTTTCTGTTTCACCGGAAATAACTAAAAATTTTAGTTTTAAATAATAGCCTCGGTATTTTTTTACTTTATTCGATAGGAAATGACATATAGAATCTGAATAAAATGACATATCATATGTCAACTTTTGACATTTTCGCATATGGTTTTTTACAACAATTTGACTCGAAATACCAAGTGTGTGGTACCAAATTATTCGTAAAGAATGCTTTTTTCAAATATGCTAATGAGACACCCTTGTTCCATTTGGAAAAATTGAAATATGATTAAAAATATGATTTGGGCATCTTTTAACCGACCAGGTCAAGAAACGAAAAACATTAGACGATCAAATCTATTTTTCCAAGGCTTCTTGATTGAAAATTAGTGTTTTTAACACACCCATGGCACTATAGATTGAAATTTAAAAATTTTTAAGCGAAAATGTCGAAAGTCATTTTTTAATTTTTTATCCGAAAAAATAAAAAAGTTATAGAGGTGAGCCACTTTTGAGACGCACCCGGTATATGGTGACTGCCCTCAGGCGTACGAGGGAAGGTGCGCGGATACTAAAAAACTAGCGAAGTTGACCGGCTGTCTGATAAATCGGCTGTGATAAGAAGTACGCACTTAAAAAAATAAAATAATTTTCGAAACATGAAATGATATAAAAAAAAAAAATATAAAAATGCTCTTCTGTTGAATTGTAACAAGTTAGAATTACCTGAATGTCTAAATTCATGCCCAAAAGGGTCAATAGAAAAGCCAAAGCATTGCCAGTAGTATCAGCTGCCTAAAGAAAAGAAAAGAAGATTTTCATGGTAAATTTTTAGGTGATAAAAATGTAGTGTTATAATGTATAACAATATTTCATTAAAACAGTTTTATTCAAAAAAAAACTTACAGCAAAAGCAAACCCAGCAAATTCATCATTTATGTCACTTTTAGAATACAGATTTTTATCAGCATGTATTACTGAATCTAGAAATGACTTTTGCACGGGTGAATTTTCGTTAATTTGTTTTTTCCTTTCAGAAACAACCTAAAAAGTATCTTGGTACTGAAAATATTTAATTAAGAAGTTTAATCAAATAAATATAATCCACATAGTCAACAATACTTTAAACATAATACATGTTTCAGTAAATAAACCTTATGCATAGAACTTGTGAAGAACATTGCACTCTTGGCACCTTGAAGAAACTTCATAAAATTTTTCCAAATGCAGATCAATAAGAAAGGATAGCCTGATATCGCTTTAACAACATTATGCCCAAAAATTTCTTGGAATCTAAAAAGGTATTACATTTACTATATAACTAAGATACCATACGATCGAAAAAAAAAACGGCGTTAAAAACGACTGTGGAATAAAAATCGATAATAATTTTGACGAGGTTAAGCCCTAGACGTCATTACTTGTACTCTTCTTTATTTTTTAATGGTGCTTAGGTACTGCCAGTTACTCTCAAGAAGGTTGTAATTTATTTCTATTTGAGTAAAAATGATTTAAATGGTGTAGTTTAAAATTCGAGTAAAAACAATATTTTAGAAATAGATTTGTGTATCTGGAAACGGGAGGGGGGGGTTCTATCTTTTATAATATTTTTATAATTAGTGTTAATTTTTGACAAGTTTTATGTCAATTTCTTAGTAAATAACGTCTAGAGACTGACCTCACCAAAATTATCATCGATTGTCATTCTTGTATTTGACGCGGTAAGATTATTAAATGAGAACTTACAGATCAAGCTCTTCGAGCAGCTTGAAACCTTGTTCTGTTTGGAAATTGTATTCCTTATTTCCCATCGTTTCTAGAATATAAGATTATAGACATTTTTTATTTACAGTGTGATTATTACAAAAAATGAAAATAAAAATGTAAAGTAGATTTTTCATAATTTAGTTTCATCTTTACTACGATTCATTATGAAAACTAGTTGTAAAAAGTTTTTATATACCTACCCAAAAATGAACTCAATGCGTAAGCGACACAAACCACAAAAAGATCTCTATTTTCCATATCTTTAAGTGTCTCGATTAAAGTTTTGCTGTTTTTGTAAAAAATCGGAACGAAAGAATTAAGAGTTACTTGATTGAAGCTTTTCGACAAGAACTTCCTCTTTGGCTTCCATTGCTTCACTAAAATAAAAAAGTATAAGACATGTGAAACATTTTAAACTGCCTCTACATTACTCGCGAAGTAGGCCGAAGTAGGTCAATGCCGAATAGTGAAGAAGGTTATTTCGTGTTTCCTTCGTATAATAAAAATAAGCCGAGAAGAGACAAAGTTAGTTATAACCTTAGATTAACAATGTTATAACCCCTCTTCAATATTCGACCTTGACCTACTTCGGCTTACTTCGTGAGTAGAGTAGAGGCCGTATTAAGTAGCTATACCGGGTGTTTCTCAAAACTGGCTCACCCCTGTAACTTTTATATTTTTTCAGATAAAAAAACGAGATTTGGTACGTTAGTATATAATATAAATCAGGATTGATGGACGTATTCAATTGTTTTTGCTCACTTCCTCTTTCACCGGAAATGACTAATAAACATTTGTATTTTAAATAAAACCCTCGGTATATTTTACTTTATTCGTTAAAACATGACACTCTGAATAGAGTGACATATATCATATGTCAACTTTTGACATTTTCGCATATGGTTTATTTGAAATTGTAATATGCGCTTCATAACGAACATTTGACTCGAAATACCAAATGTATGATACCAAATTATTCGTAAAAAAATGCTTCCAAATTTTCCGAATATAGTAATGAGCCACCCTCGTTCTATTTGAAAAATTGAATTATGATTAAAAATACGATTTGGGCATCTTTCAACCGGCCAGGACAAGACAAGAAAAACATTAGAAGATGAAATATATTTTTCCAAGGCTCCTTGATTTAAAATTGGTGCTTAACACAGCCATAGCACCCTAGAATGAAATTTAAAATACATTTTTTTATTACAGTTGAGGGTTGGAACCTTTGGTGTTACACAGCAAAATAAAAACACTAAATCACCACAATACACCAAAACACTTTTACTTTTACACTGGACGCGCGTTTCGTTAACCATGTTAGCATCATCAGCAGATGATTATAAACTAAAATACAATCTACAAGTTGAGCGTTTATATACTCGCTCAGTGGGCACCGAGTGGGCGTGGCAAAATCTAGCCAACCGAGTCAGAGCCCACTGAGCGTAACAGTTAGATTTCCGCCACTAGAGTAGTAGGAACAAAGAACTTGAAGGAATTGGACCGTTGACTCTGTTCATACTGTGACAAATCTTTTCGGATTAATCACTTGTCTATGGGTAGCGTGACTATTTTATAATTATAAAAAAACAATTAAGTTGAGCGGAAGGCAAACTTGGATAAAAAGTACACCGACTCTTTGGAGCGTATGTTTAATGCTTTGTCTTAGTGCTGTTAGTCTCTCAAATCTATTATAACTTACCTTAATTGCGGCCCGATCTCTGTCTGTGAATCTGTAGCTCATTCCTCGAGACTTTTCTGGACTGCTCTGGAGATATTCTGCCCGTTCATAAGAATCTTATTTATATACTTTTAAAACACTCTTATTTTTTACTATCGAAATAAAACGGCCGAGTTTTTAGAAAACATTTAAATTTAATATTAAAAAGAAAATAAAGAACAAATAAAAAAATATATATGTATATGATCGAAATTACTTGTTATTAATATAAATAGAAAATAGATGGAAAAATACAAGAAAATTGTCTGGTGTCTGCTTTGTTGAAAAATCTGATAATTACATAATCAATTGAACCTTCATTACTAAATCTTAACACATTAAAATAATTTTAGAGAAGAAAATTAAAAACAGAAATTAAAAACATTTGACAAAAGGACATAAAAAAAATACTATTAGCAGACACTAGACTTAAAAACTACAGGGGGTCACATCGTGAACGTTACCGAGTTTCGCGAACCCGAGGGAGAACCGTCTCTTTTAGAAACTTAAACCGAACTAACTTTTCTGCCTAAAAACAGCCCCAAGGTTCCAACATTACAGGGTTGAAGGGTGGTGCATTCGGTACTTCGCCAATAGGATCATCCCTAAAGGTACTGTTCTTTGCTTGATTGGTCAGCTTGACACCGCCCTTCAAACCAAATAGGTTCGACCTCCCGTTGTTAGATGGCAGTACTATGACCATTTTACGTATTTAATCCTAGTTTACGTCTAGATACGTGCTTTCCTAAAGTTCCCAGATCCTTTACAAACATCCGGCGATAGTTACATGTTATCAAGGGTGGTTATTGGTTTTACAATGTCCCGGCGTTTTTTCTAAGGTCTATCTTTACAATTTTCTGTTTACTTCTAAGTTCTACAGTTTATTTGCTTTGCCCTTCTATAAGTTTGGGAATTTAAAAATAGTCACGTTTGAAAGATGTTTGTTTTATTACTTCCTGTTAAAAGACCCTCTCCCGAAACTAATAACCGAAAACATCGACTTGAACGTAAAGGACATAGGAAATTATCTGTTAATCATATAAATAATAATATAAAGGAAATAATCTGTTACAATTTGCCCTCCCCTTAAGAGGGAAGCTATTGTTTCCAAAAAATAAAAATAAAATAAACTAAATCTGAAAAGAAACAATATAAGTAATATGATGCAAATAAAATTAAATAAGATAATATGGTCAACACAAATGAAACAATAGGTTCACGATATGATTCCTGCTTACATTACGCTAATCTTCTACTAACTATTAAAAATTACACTTAATACTAAAAAGATATCTGCGGCGAACAATTTGCTTTGGCGCAACCCGATCATACTACTCGATCGATGAAACACTCCACTCCCGTTCTCACAGTTCTTGATCGATGCTTAATTTCTTCTGTAGATGGAACCGGAATAATGTGGATGTTTCCATGAATACTATGTGGATGTCTCATTCAGATTAACCATAAGACCTCGCTGGAATTGCGCCTCGACGTTATAATAAATCTGGATGTGCGTTCTGCATGAAGGAATCCATCTTGTTACCCTTCTCACTGATGTCATCTGATGACGTTTATTGGCAAACTGAATTATGAAAAGTAGGTACACATGTCTTGAGTGGAAACTGGCATAGGTCATACGAACGAACGCATGCCTATAGAGGTTAAACCGCCTCTGCTCGGTCCTCCGTACCTCGTTTGTAATCTCTTACTATGAATCAAGTCCATTCTGGACAGTGAGGCTTTCAATCAGAGAAGTTATAAGGGTCGCTTCTATGTTGCTTACATCCGTATTACGTTGTCGATTATTTCTGAGTGTTCTGATACTTTTTGAGCTGCAGGATTTAGTTGCAGGATATAGCCAGATGTGTTTCCACTCCCTAACAGTGTCGAGGTTAGACATATTTTAACACTAACAGAATGATATCTGAGTCTTCTCTATCTTCACATGCTTTTAACTGATCCCATTCAAATTGTTAAACTTGGTTAAAAATGTTACTATACCAACTGTCCAATACTTTAAATTCCGAATGATTACTAACTCCTTTCTTATAGCGTGTCTTTATGTTGTCTGTTTGAATGACTAAATTCTGGTATACATAGGTTCTAGTTCACTATCCAATTGATATGTGGCATTAGGTACCACGCCTATTTCTAGTTGGACGCCTATTCTATCAGCTAAATCTAACTGATTTATAGCTAGGATAAGAGACTAAACGAATTGATCGACTAAATCAGTTGATAAATTAAATCAATAATTGGTTGTTGAATATGTCTAACATTCTGGTAACTGTAATTCAAATTGATCTTCTAGGTTAATACCACTATGATTTTGAAGATACTGCGTAACAAATACTCCTGACATGGTTAACCTTTCAGAGAACATCGCACTGTAGTATTCAGGATATCCTCTACCCATCTGTTGCGATCTTACAAGTCCCGCAAGATATCCCTCTTCTTCGTCCCTTAATGGTATAAATCTTATAAACTAAGTCTATGGTCGTGAGGTAGACCGCTGGCAGAATAAGGAATTCAAAAAAACTTAAAATTTACTGTAACATAAAAAAACTTTAAAACGCTCTGAACTATTGCTGAAAAAACTACCAATAGCATAATACATGAAATCTATGGTCATTGGTATCGACTTATTTTTATACCCTAATACATCTGCTTGCTCTACGTTTCTATCGTCCCCGGTATTCTCCTTTCTAAACCTCTGTACACCTATACATACATCTTAGATCTATCGTTAACTGTTTCACTTCTGATATATTATCATCATCGAGCTCCAGGGTTAGCTAATTTTCTATATTTTTAACAACTTGCCCTTAATTAAAATTCTGAAATCCTAAAACTTAAAACAATCACTTTTATTCTTGTCTCTAATGCGTAGTATAGGATAATAACACTCTGTCTATTATGATAAAAAAATTAATAAAAAAAATAAAACAAAGTTTTTATCAAAAGAATTCAATTAATAAAATAAATTCCAAATCAAATCGAAGTGTTACGTTACTTATAAAAAAAAATTAATTATGAAAACCTCATAAGTTAAAGCTATTTAAAAAAATTATATCTATGACTTATTAATTAAATTAAGTAAAAAATTAGATAAAGAGTTATAAAATAAGAAAGATTGATAAATAGATAAAGACTTATTAAATTAAATAAAAAAAATATTGCAGGAAAAATTCTCATAGGCAAAGTAATTATCTGAAACGCTGAAAGAAAAACAAATTATCCATTAGGTTACTGTTATAACTTACAAAACCTTTTTTCTAGACCCAGGTAATGGTCCATCTAACAAAACACCCTGTATACTAGCCATAAAAGGTAAATAGCATTTAAATGAAAAAAGTTTTTGGCAAATGTCTATCAATAAAAAATTAAAAAAAAAATGTTAAATATAGGATATTATCTGAAAAACCATTATTTAAATCTCAAAATAAATTTACTAAAATTTAATGAAAAGGAAATGTAATAAGTAAGTAAATTTAGGTAAAATAGAATAAACAATGAAACTCTTTAAGTTAATACAAAAAATCTATAAACTTTCAAAGCCTATATTTAAAATAAAAATTTTTTTAATACCTCAGAAAAAATTAGTCTTGAAAATAAAATACCCGAAAATAACCTTTAACGCTATTTTCTTTCATCTCT